CTAAAAAATTGCAGTACGTGAATACTCGCTGTTTTGCGTTACACGAGCCGTATGTAGATATTTTCGATTTCACCCTACGGAAGAATTCTCTTCAGAGCTCTTCATCCTTGTTCATCTCTCGTCATCCTTGGTTAAATCGACTCAGAATTGTCCTAATATACAAAAAATTCTCAAAATATGAGTTTTCAGCTGTTTGGAGGAGCGATTTAGAGACATTTTTGGAAAAATAATGGCAAAAAGAATAAAGAAAAAATTATACGAAAAGTTTCGAGAGTTTTACCTGGGAACGGTCCACAACTTTCGCTCATGATGGCCACAGTCTTTACCACTATACCATGAAGGCAATGATGTAAACAACTAAAAAATTGCAGTACTTGAATACTCGCTGTTTTGCGTTATACTAGCCGTATGTAGATTTTTTCGATTTCACCTTACAGAAGAATTCTCTTCAGAGCTCTTCGTCCTTGTTCATCTCTCGTCATCCTTGGTTAAATCGACTCAGAATTGTTCTAACATACAAAAAATTCTCAAAATATGAGTTTTGAGCTGTTTGGAGGAGCGATTTAGAGACTTTTTTGGAAAAATAATGGCAAAAAGAAATAAAGAAAAAATTATACGAAAGTTTTACCTGGGAACGGTCCACAACTTTCGCTCATGAAGGCCACAGTCTTTACCACTATACCATGAAGGCAATCATGTAAACAGCTAAAAAATTGCAGTACTTGAATACTCGCTGTTTTGCGTTATACTAGCCGTATGTAGATATTTTCGATTTCACCCTACAGAAGAATTCTCTTCAGAGCTCTTCATCCTTGTTCATCTCTCGTCATCCTTGGTTAAATCGACTCAGAATTGTTGTAATATACAAAAAAAACTCAAAATATGAGTTTTCAGCTGTTTGGAGGAGCGATTTAGAGACTTTTTTGGAAAAATAATGGCAAAAAGAATAAAGAAAAAATTATACGAAAAGTTTCGAGAGTTTTACCTCGGAACGGTCCACAATTTTCGCTCATGATGGCCACAGTCTTTACCACTATACCATGAAGGCAATGATGTAAACAGCTAAAAAATTGCAGTACTTGAATACTCGCTGTTTTGCGTTATACTAGCCGTATGTAGATATTTTCGATTTCACCCTACAGAAGAATTCTCTTCAGAGTTGTTCATCCTTGTTCATCTCTCGTCATCCTTGGTTAAATGGACTCAAAATTGTCCTAATATACAAAAAATATCTAATAATGAATATTCAGCTCTTAGGAGGTGCGATTTAGAGACTTTTTGGAAAAATAATGGCAAAAAGAAATAAAGAAAAAATTATACGAAACGTTACGAGAGTTTTACCTTGAAACGGTCCACAACTTTTGCTCATGATGGCCTCAGTCTTTACAACTATACCATGATGGCAACGATGGAAACAGCTAACATATTGCAATAGTTCAATATTCTCTGTTTTCAGTTCTACTTGATGTATGTAGATTTTTTGCATTTCACCCTGGACAAGAATTCTCTTCAGAGTTGTTCATCCTTGTTCATCTCTCGTCATCCTTGGTTAAATCGACTCAGAATTGTCCTAATATACAAAAAATTCTCAAAATATGAGTTTTCAGCTGTTTGGAGGAGCGATTTAGAGACATTTTTGGAAAAATAATGGCAAAAAGAATAAAGAAAAAATTAGACGAAACGTTTCGAGAGTTTTACCTGGGAACGGTCCACAACTTTCGCTCATGATGGCCTCAGTCTTTACCATATAACCATGAAGGCAACGATGTAAACAGCTAAAAAATTGCAGTACTTCAATACTCGCTGTTTTGCGTTATACTAGCCGTATGTAGATTTTTTCGATTTCACCCTACAGAAGAATTCTCTTCAGAGCTCTTCATCCTTGTTCATCCCTCGTCATCCTTGGTTAAATCGACTCAGAATTGTCCTAATATACAAAAAATTCTCAAAATATGTGTTTTCAGCTGTTTGAAGGAGCGATTTAGAGACTTTTTGGAAAAAAAATGGCAAAAAGAAATAAAGAAAAAATTATACGGAAAGATTCGAGAGTTTTACCAGGGAACGGTCCACAACTTTCGCTCGTTATCGCCACAGTCTTTACCACTGTACCATGAAGGCAATGATGTAAACAGCTAAAAAATTGCAGTACTTCAATACTCGCTGTTTTGCGTTATACCAGCCGTATGTAGATTTTTTCGATTTCACCCTACAGAAGAATTCTCTTCAGAGCTCTTCATCCTTGTTCATCCCTCGTCATCCTTGGTTAAATAGACTCAGAATTGTCCTAATATACAAAAAATTCTCAAAATATGAGTTTTCAGCTGTTTGGAGGAGCGATTTAGAGACTTTTTGGAAAAATAATGGCAAAAAGAAATAAAGAAAAAATTATACGAAAACTTTCGAGAGTTTTACATGGGAACGGTCCACAACTTTCGCTCGTTATCGCCACAGTCTTTACCACTGTACCATGAAGGCAATGATGTTAACAGCTAAAAAATTGCAGTACTTCAATACTCGCTGTTTTGCGTTATACTAGCCGTATGTAGATTTTTTCGATTTCACCCTACAGAAGAATTCTCTTCAGAGCTCTTCATCCTTGTTCATCCCTCGTCATCCTTGGTTAAATCGACTAAGAATTGTCCTAATATACAAAAAAATTCTCAAAATATGAGTTTTCCGCTGTTTGGAGGAGCGATTTAGAGACATTTTTGGAAAAATAATGGCAAAAAGAATAAAGAAAAAATTATACGAAAAGTTTCGAGAGTTTTACCTGGGAACGGTCCACAATTTTCGCTCATGATGGCCTCAGTCTTTACCACTATACCATGAAGGTAACGATGTAAACAGCTAAAAAATTGCAGTACTTCAATACTCGCTGTTTTGCGTTATACTAGCCGTATGTAGATTTTTTCGATTTCACCCTACAGAAGAATTCTCTTCAGAGCTCTTCATCCTTGTTCATCCCTCGTCATCCTTGGTTAAATCGACTCAGAATTTTCCTAACATACAAAAAATTCTCAAAATATGAGTTTTCCGCTGTTTGGAGGAGCGATTTAGAGACATTTTTGGAAAAATAATGGCAAAAAGAATAAAGAAAAAATTATACGAAAAGTTTCGAGAGTTTTACCTGGGAACGGTCCACAACTTTCGCTCATGATGGCCACAGTCTTTAGCATTATACCATGAAGGCAATGATGTAAACAGCTAAAAAATTGCAGTACTTCAATACTCGCTGTTTTGCGTTATACTAGCCGTATGTAGATTTTTTCGATTTCACCCTACAGAACAATTCTCTTCAGAGCTCTTCATCCTTGTTCATCCCTCGTCATCCTTGGTTAAATCGACTCTGAATTGTCCTAGTTTACAAAAAATTCTCAAAATTTGTGTTTTCAGCTGTTTGAAGGAGCGATTTAGAAACTTTTTTTGAAAAATAATGGCAAAAAGAAATAAAGAAAAAATTATACGGAATGTATCGAGAGTTTTACCTAGGAATGGTCCACAACTTTCGCTCATGATGGCCTCAGTCTTTACCACTATACCATGAAGGTAACGATGTAAACTGCTAAAAAATTGCGGTACTTCAATACTGGCTGTTTTCCGTTATACTAGCCGTATGTAGATTTTTTCGATTTCACCCTACAGAAGAATTCTCTTCAGAGCTCTTCATCCTTGTTCATCCCTCGTCATCCTTGGTTAAATCGACTCAGAATTGTCCTAATATACAAAAAATTCTCAAAATAGGAGTTTTCAGCTGTCTGGAGGAGCGATTTAGAGACTTTTTTGGAAAAATAATGGCACAAAGAAATAAAGAAAAAATTATACGGAAAGATTCGAGAGTTTTACCAGGGAACGGTCCACAACTTTCGCTCATGATGGCCACAGTCTTTAGCACTATACCATAAAGGCAATGATGGAAACAGCTAAAAAATTGCAGTACTTCAATACTCGCTGTTTTGCGTTATACTAGCCGTATGTAGATTTTTTCGATTTCACCCTACAGAAGAATTCTCTTCAGCGCTCTACATCTTTGTTCGTCCCGCGTCATCCTTGGTTAAATCGACTGAAAATTGTCCTAATATACCAAAAAGTATCAAAAATATGAATATTCAGCTGTTAGGAGGAGCGATTTGGAGACTTTCTTGGAAAAATGATGGCTAAAAGAAATAAAGGAAAAATTATACGAAAAATTACGAGAGATTTAGCTGGGAACGGTCCACAACTTTCGAGCATGATGGCCTCAGTCTTTACCACTATACCATGAAGGCAACAATGTAAACAGCTAACTCATATTACAATACTCCGATATTCTCTGCTTTGCGTTGTACCAGCTGTATGTAGATTTTTTCGGTTTCACCCCACAGAAGAATTCTCTTCAGCGCTCTACATCCTTGTTCATCCCTCGTCATCGTTGGTTAAATCGGCTCAAAATTGTCCAAATATACAAAATATTATCAAAAATGACTATTAGGTTGTCATGAGGAGCGATTTTGAGACTTTTGGGAAAAATAATGACAAATGGAAAGAAAAAAAATATATGTAATATAGTGTAAGGGTGGCCCCCAAATTTGGAAAATAAGAAAAAATAATTTGGAACGTTTTTTTTTATATAAGTGAGAGAAAAAATTTTCTAAACCTAAATCTTGCAGGTATTGGTATGTTTTAACAAGAGTTTGTTAGGGAAAATTTGTTTTGAACCTTAACTGAACTGATGTTTGTCCGGAAAATCTTTTTTGAACCTTCTTTTTATGTCCTGAAAAAATGTTTTCCGCCTCCGCCCCCCCCGCTCGCCCCCTCTCGCCCCCTCTCGCCCCGTCTCGCCAACGTTATTTTTTGGGGGAAATTATCGACACAATAATTGAAAAAAAAATTGTACAGGTTGAAAATGCCCCCCCCCTCCCTTGGGAAAGAGGTTGCCCCCTCCCATTCCCTCCCTCCCATCACTTTTCTGATGGCCCATGAGATGAACAATAAAGGATACAAAAGGATAATACACAAAGTCACAATCTCTCCTCTGTGACAAAGTTGTCAATTTCACGAGAGGCACATGGTGTTGAATTATTGAAGTTTGAAATAATTTCTTGTTTTGACCCTTGTTTTGTCGCAAAAACCAACTGAAAATTATGCAAGGAGGTTCACCAATAATAGTTTTAAGTATGTTCTATATTATATTTATTTTTTGTTGTTCTATTACGCTGTATTAATGTGTTAAAATGTCCGTTTCCTACAAATCAACTTTGTAGATCAGTCAACAAGACGAGAGTCTGGGCGTAAAGTACAGCTTGGAAATGTACAAGCTGCAAAGGTACTCTTGGAAATGTTTATATTTTTTATATTGTTTTATTATAGGAGACATGTTATATTGTATCAGTTTTTTTGTGATATGTTTTGATATGTTTATTTAATATATGAATTAAAAGCCTCTTTTCCACAGAAGAACTAGCCTCAAATGTTCTATGCTGACTAGTGAAGTCAATAAATTTCTGCATACCTACTGCCTCGTACCCCAGGCATTTCTTTGTAAGATATTGGTTTGAAGCTGTTGTGGTGTCCCCGTCTTTTTACCTTTTTGTCTAACCTTCAAACATGAGAAGCTTGGCACATTTGCTACGTTTCGACACAAATTAGGAAAGTACAGCAGAAGTGTATAAACTTGAGTCTGTGTTTACGTCCACAAAAATTTTAACTTGCTCACGCCATCCTGGCTAGTACAGCCGTAAGGTTTTATCAGATTTTGGTAGGTACAAAGTGCCGGTTGTACTAGCAAAGGCTGGCGTGATTGATGACGAATCGCTTGCAAAAACGCGGACAAATACTTGCTTGAGTGAGACTTCTGGTATACCTTCCTATTCTGTGGTTTCAATATGTGAACTATGCAGACCTCTCAACTTTGCAGAGAAGTTAAGATTTTTCCCATGATTTTTCTCTGAACTTGCCCTAAAAATATTGAAAACACTTCAACATTTCAAGCGAAGATGCTAAACTCTGGACCAGGATCGAGCCTTTGCTTACTGCATGATATAGTAGCTATATTTTTGTTCTTTAGACAATTGCAGACGTTATTCGAACATGCCTTGGACCTCGGGCAATGTTGAAGGTATGAAATAGCAATGTTGTACCAACAACTTGTCAACAGGATGCCAACCCTCTAAATTTGCCTCAGTGGCACTCGGCAATTGCTGAGGCAAGTTACGATTTTTCATAGTTTGCCTCAGTGGCACTCGGCAATTGCTGAGGCAAGTTACGATTTTTCATAGTTTGCCTCAGCAAAAAAATGCCGAGGCAATTTCACCCGGGTGAACAGGTGTTATAACCTTGAATTACAAACTACAGCGCCGGTTCTTCCCCTAAAATTTACAAACTACAGTGTTCGTTTTTTGTATCACTTATTTGTTGGTTTTGTTGTCATCGATGTTGGGTGAACAACAGAAGATTTCATTCATAGCTACTTTACAAAATATTTAAATTTGAGCTTTTCAGCGTCAGCTTCGGTTGAAATAAAGAACAATCTTTATTTCGTCACAATTGTAGATTGCCGACGTGAATGCCAAAGGGGTAATTGCCGAAGGAATATGAGGTGATTTCATTGTGTGCCTCGGCAAAAAAAATTGCCGAGGCAAACTCGAAAATTATCGAAAGACTTCGGCAATTATTTGCCGAGGCAAAAATAGTTGAATTTCGAGGGTTGCCATGTTTGCACTGTTTGTTCACAGCTTGTTAACAACTTGCCAATGGTTTGTTGAGAACTTGCTACAAGGTTGTAGAACTCAATAGATGTAATTGTTACAGGATATTCCAACAACTTGTTATCGTCCTGCAATTCAACAATTTGTGAGTGACAACCTTGTTGCAACTTTGTGAAATAACAGCATTGTTACATCTTGTTGACAAGTTGTGAGATTTTTACATGACTATGGCATATATAGATTCATAATGATATAAGTTATTAATGAGTATAAGTTATTAAGCTGTATATGTTATTTCAAGATTACTGTTCTTCAGATGCTGATGAATCCTATGGGGGGCATTGTGATGACTAATGATGGCAATGCCATCCTGCGTGAAATTCAAGTTCAACATCCAGCTGCTAAGACAATGATAGAGATCAGTCGTACTCAGGATGAAGAAGTTGGAGATGGGACAACCTCAGTCATTATCTTAGGTATGAATATGACCCCCCCCTGACATATATCAATTTCAAGCATTTTTTTGGGTGGGGTGGGGTGGGGGTGGGAGGTCAGCTTTTCCGTTTATTTTCTGATTAGGTCTCCATTCACAAATATCTTGTGTTCTGAACGGGTAATTGTTATCGTTGTGTTGGACATATATTGTGTGTGTTGACATGTTATAACTTTGCAGCTGGTGAAATGATGTCTGTGGCAGAACAGTTTCTTGAACAACAGATGCATCCTACTGTAGTCATTGGTGCATATCGTCAAGCACTAGAAGATATTCTGAAAATCATGAAAGAAGACATCAGGTGAGCATGGTTTAGAACAGCTAGACAAATAAGATGTTTTATTTTTGTCTGGTCCGTAATCCCAGATGTGAATTTAGCCTTCTGATTGGTTGACGAGAGGTCTGTATCAGTCAATACAAATCTCCCACGCACGTTACTGACCATGCTTTAGCCTTCTTGTAGCCTGAAATTTCATTCTTGGGAAACTGGAAAATGTTTGGGTGCGGCTGCAGAGCACAAACACAACTGATCTCAAATCTAGTTCGTCTCACAGGAGATTGTTAGGAATTTAATTAAGCATTGTGCAAAAACATAAATAAGTTATTTACCGTTAAGGTCGGCCCTGAAAAATATTTCCCCTCGGTCTCAGAAGTCTCTCTCGACCTTTGGTCTGTGGCTATGTCTGAGACCTTTGGAAAATATTTTTCAGTACAGGCCTCCCAGTCGGTAAATAACATAATTATATGCAATTGATTATGTAGTCTTCCTGTTGATGTGAATGACCAAGAACTCATGAGAAAAATCATCAAAAGTTCAGTTGGCACAAAATTTATCAATAAATGGTAAGTGTTTTAGAATTAGGCGTAGTGGCCATTGCAGTAGCTACATAGAGGTCAGTAGCTATAAGAAGTCCAGCATTTATATATAATGGTCAGTAATCATGACCAATCCAGGGGTACATAGGTATCAGTGTTTGTGTATAGAGATCAGGAGTGTCAGTGAACATTGGTGACCAGACATTGTATAGAGGTCAGGTCCACTGCAGTAATAGATCAATAGTGATGGCTATACTGGAGGGGCATGTAATATGTGGGACTACCTGTCAATAATTATTTGCAGTGGCAACTTGGCAAGTGACATCGCATTAAAAGCTGTCAAAACTGTGTTACGAGAAGAAAATGATAAGAAAGAGATAGATATTAAAAATTATGCTAAGATTGAAAAGGTATCTATGTTGTATCTGACATTTAAAATGTTCGCTGAATTTTCTGTAATGCATGTTCAGGAATTAGAGCAGATTTAATCAATTTTCACATTTGACTATTCGATATTGACAGGTTCCAGGAGGCACGTTGGAAGAGTCTTGTGTTTTATCTGGTATTATGTTAAATAAAGATGTCACTCATGCCAAGATGAGAAGGTACTATATTGTCAATTCCCAGCATTATCCACAATCCAAAATATTTCGTCCTTACCACACAAATATCAAGGATTTCTTGTTCCCAACATTAATGTCTGGAAATTTGAAAATTGTCTAAATTTGAAAATCTTCATGGGGAGACACCGTTGTCAACCCCCCCCCTCTTGACATAAATATCGCCAGAGATGCAGTCAAACTACGCCTGAAGCCCTCTAACAAGCTAATTAACTCCTGCGAATTAAGAATGCAACAAACTTACACACCAATTGTTTTAAATCCCTTAGTGACATTTTCAACATTCAAACTTGCATGCTATCCTTCTTGATAATATCGTTCAACAACGAAAGCTAAGACGTATACACCTTTATATAATAAAGTGTAGTTTCTGGCCTCATTTAATTCATACTTTTCTCTACTTGACATGCCTTCATGTTGGGAACTCACTGTCTTCTGTTTTAGGAAAATTCTAAATCCAAGAATAGTTTTACTGGATTGTCCTTTGGAGTATAAGAAAGGGGAAAGTCAGGTTTGTTGAATCGACAACCATTTCAAATGAGAGTTTTTACATTTAATCCAAGCCTTCTAGCTATCAAAATATACTAACCTTAACATTCACTACTGACGTTTCTGATAAATCACTCTATACCAGCTGGTCAAAGCTAAATGTTGTGATCCTTGCAGACCCTTTGCCACAGGCAAACATTCCTATTTAATTTTTAAAACAGCATCGTTTTTCTCTTGGTTAGACTAACATGGAGCTCTCTAAGGAAGAAGATTTCACGTAAGTAATGGCTTATCTGCCGTCTTATGAATGCTTTTCATTTAATAAATAACCATGTGTGTGTGTGGTGTTTTAGACGTGCTCTGCAGTTAGAAGAGGAATTTGTAAAACAGATGTGTGATGAGATCATAACAGTGAAACCCGATTTAGTTTTCACAGAAAAGGGTGTTTCAGGTAAAGTAATAATATTTCCTCAATATATGCTAACTTCTTAGTTCACAGTTAATTTAGCTGTTCAAACACAATTAAACCACAACAGTTTGTTGTATAGTACGACCTACACTGGACCACCACGTATGAGATATCGTTTTCAGGTAGTTCAGACACAAACCACGACAGTTTATTGTAGAATACTACCTACACTGGACCACCGCGTCTGAGATATCGTTTTCAGGTAGTTCAGACACAAACCACGCCAGATTATTGTAGAATACTACCTACACTGGACCACCACGTTTGAGATGTCGTTTTCAGATAGTTGAGACACAAACCATGACAGCTTAGTTTGAATACTACCTACACTGGACCGTCATGTTTGAGATATTAAACAGTGGTTTAACAAAATTTAGATCTTGCTCAACATTACTTGGTGAAAGCGAACATTACAGCAATACGCAGGATAAAGAAGACGGATAACAACAGGATTTCAAGGTGACAAAACTCTTGACAAAAATGTTTGAGCGAAGGTTGTCACGGGGGGATGTTTGCAAGGTTATAAAAATTTGAACAATTATTGTTACTTAGGGCCTGTGGTGCGACCATAGTGAACCGTACTGACGAGCTGCAGGAGTCCGATGTTGGCACAGGAGCGGGATTGTTTGAAATTAAGAAGATTGGAGACGAGTATGTTGTTGATCTTCTCGTGAAAGTAACATTTGCTCTTAACTAATTTTTCATTCACTTTCATGATTTTCTCAGATATTTCTGTTTCATCACGGAATGTAAAAATCCCAAGGCTTGTACGATCTTGTTGAGAGGTCCTAGTAAAGATATTTTGCAAGAGGTAAGAAAACGAGGCTCTGTAGCCAAGGGTGTATTAATTATGGAGTTCATCCTCTACTGCAGTGGGTTGCATGAAATACCTACATCAAGCAATCAACTCAATATGGCAGAGCTTGGCTAGCTTTTGTTTCTCAACACACTTTTGTCCTGCAGGTTGAACGCAATCTTCACGATGCGATGAACGTGACAAGGAATGTGATTATGAATCCTATCTTGGTTCCTGGTGGTGGAGCTTGTGAAATGGCTTTGTCTCACGTATGTTCTGCTCTTCTGTCTAAAACCAAGACGTTTTCCGTTGTTGCTCACAGGCCACTTGTACGAACGCAGGATAGCGCTATTCACAACATACATCGAATCATAATTTTGCTATAACACAAATCAAACTTTAGTGTTTATATAAATCAAAATTTATTTTTATTATTTGTGAGGTGTATATTCGTAGTGTTACAATTCTTCAAACGTTTTTACAACAAAAAGTCACTATATCTAGTGGATAGCGTTGTCCTTCGTCCAAGACTTGTATTGATGTTGGGTGCTCCAGGAATTGTTGACATTTAAGGGAGCACGCGAAACAATAGCATGAAATCGAGGCGGCCAATGTAAACAGTTAGTTCTCATTGCCATTAAATTCGAGAAGTGTCTATTGCAGTAAGAAAATTAACCTACACCTCTCAACTGTATTTATTTGAGCAAGTTTGAAACGCCAGGCTACCGCATATGATGAAAGAATTGATATGTTCTTATTGCAAAATATACGCACAGTTAATTAATCACCTTAACCACAGACAAACATTTCTTTTCAGGCTTTAACAGAGAAAGCAAAGTCTGTAGCAGGTATACACCAGTGGCCATACAAGGCTGTAGCTAGTGCTCTGGAGGTCATACCTAGAACTCTCATTCAGAATTGTGGTGGTAATGTCATTAGAACATTAACGGCGCTAAAGGTATTGTGGATGTTATATAATGTGTTATAAACACATTTAACCATGGAACTGATACACTAGGATCACCTTATTATATATGCATGAACTTGCCGTTAGAGTTCGACAAGTGGCTTCTTTAACTCATGAGGTTGGTTAGAGCCGGGACGTTTATGTATAGGACGGTGAAACGGCAATAGGCGCGCTCATCGATGTGTGTGATGCAATAACAAGCGTCCTGTTGTTACCATGGCGACGTTGTCTTGACCAGATAAACACAATGAACTCAATTTATTTTGCTTTACAAAAACACAGAATAAAGACGCACAGAAGCCCGACTTCTTGGTTTTTCCTATGATTTTGACGTAACCGTAATTTGTCATCAAAATACTGACGCCAAACCAGTGTGTTTAGGAGGAGCATTCACCCCCCCCCCCCTCTCATGAAAATATTCAAAATGGTAGACGTCTAGGGGAGGGGGAATACCTCTCATAAGCGCGCTAGGACCAGGTAGCAGTTACGCTTTTTTGACTGAGTCGACCTTCTGTGTGTGTTTATTGTATGACATGAACACAATGAATATTTCAGGCTAAACATGCAACTGCTGGGAATCATACTTGGGGTGTGAATGGTGAGACAGGGAAACTGCAAGATATGACAGAACTTGGAGTTTGGGACACTTTCTCCGTCAAAGCACAAACTGTTAAAACTGCAATAGAGGTAACTATCATAAACCATGATTTTCTCTTACCGATGACGATGTAAATGACTCGCATGTAAAGTCAAGAAACGTTCTTATGTCACCAAGTCACATTACTCTTTCACTCACCTCCGCCAAAAAGAGAAAAATTACTGACGTCGAAAACCGTGCTGTATTTGTTAAATTTTGTTTCCCACTTCAGCTTCGTATACACTATATCAAAGTTTCTGTCATCACTGCAGGAATTTCGCATTGGTAAATTCTAAGTTTTGAAGGATTTGTAAGAAAAAGAAATGACTTTGTGTTTTATAACAAACATACTTGCCGGGATTGGACGCACCGAGGGTGGCTGCAAGAGTATGAGATAAAACACTCAGGCAGTTCCCTCAAACATTTCAAAACTTAGAATTTGTAAAATTCCTGTGCTTCATGCGTCATTGATTTCTGTATTTTCAGACGGCCATATTGTTGCTACGTATTGATGATATTGTGTCTGGTACGAAGAAAAGTGAAGGTCGTGAAGGGACTCAGTCGGGTGCTCAGCCTACAGCTGCCTCCATGGCTGACTAACAGAACATTATACATCTAGAAAAGAACTGTATGTAGAAGATACTAATAAGATTTATTAAAAATAACAAAGATGTTTCCATTTTTACAATCTCACACAACGTAATCCCTAACCAACCTAGTACCCAGGTTCTCAATCTTCGCTTCTACCTCGCTTCAATTGAGATCTTGGTATCGGCTTGTCACGTGACCCGTCATATTTTGGCGGATTTGCTCAATTGTTTTTAGGGAAAGGATAGTAACTGAGATGGGTTTTTTTGTAATGTTATTTTAACAATATTAATGCTTTCTACAATATCTACTTACCATACTTACCATACTTACCAATATTACTTACTCAATATCTACTTACCATACTTTCCCTAAAACAATTGAGCAAATCCGTCAAAATATGACGGGTCGCGTGACCAGCCTATACCAGGGTCTCAATTTAAGCGAGGTAGGAGGGAAGATTGAGAACCTGGGTACGAGGTTGATCCCTAGCTAGTGAGAAAGTGAGCCTGAAATCTTGGACAACGTTCTGAAATCTTGGACAATGCGCGACATTGTTTTCTGTAAAACTATTAAGTGAGGTTAGAGCAAGAATGAAAAGTTTCTTGGATTGGTGAACATCCAGGTGTGTTATTTTGAATTGAATAAGCGTGTGATAATACTATGTATATTTTCCAACAGGGCTCAGTAAAATTACCACGTGACAATGGTGGTTTTTCTGTAAGTATTCTTTCAATAAGTAGTGGAGCTTTGTTGCTTCTTGCTTTGACATTCCAAACGTAAACATTGTCCACAAAACACGCTGTTTCCCAGACAATAAGTGTTAATTATCGTGAGCTCATTAAATGATTAGTCCCAGTTAAGTCGCTGGGACGATTATTTTTGTAGATCAAAGTAAACCGCTGTTTAAAGTATCCGAGGAAAAACAAAATATATTAATTTGATGTGATGTGTTTATAAACATCGTCATTAGTAACTTATTGTTTTAGAAATCAAATCAATCTTGTAGCTTTAGTGTCAAGGGTTTGAAAATGGAGACGTTTAGAAGTTCCAAGGTTTTGATAACATTATCTACTTCACCTTGGTGCAAACAGAAGTATCATTATCGTTTAATCTTCCCATTGTCGAAGCTGCATTCTTTTTGGAGTTTACCTGACGTTTTAATCTTAAAATAAACAATTATTTGAATAAATCTTTCACTAATTTTAATTAATATCAATCATTGAATGATCTAAAATGTTTTTGATGTCCAAGGAAGGTTGTATTCTTGTCCAGAATTGGACGCAGGTATTGTCCAGGATGTTCTTATCATAGTCACATCAATGCTGGCAAAGATTATCTCCTGAACTATTAATTTTGTGAGGATGTTTTCTTTGACCATGCAACACAACTAAACTTGTGTTATATGTTTAGGTTGATGAAGACCACAGCGTGTGTGAATAATCTATAGAATCATTCAAAGGTAACACACTTTGTTATAACGTAATAAAGAATGCGTGTGACATTTCTCTACAGAGATACGGCGGAGTGCATGCAAATATTTTTAACTGATAATCAGCATAACCATTAAGAGACAATTGTTTTCAATGTCGCGTAATATTGGCGATGAAAAGTATTCGAAAGCAAAAACCGTTTTGGCGTTCCTCTCAAATTACTGATTACAATTATCATTAATATTGTAAAGTTGACGGCATATTTATACAGCAATATAAGCCAAACATACTAAACTTCAGACATCATTTTCTCTTTGGCGTACAGGCTAAAATTTCTTCATTTTAGAGGTTTTACAGATAAAGCGATTTTTAAGCGAATATAGCACTAAACATACTTTTTTTGATGTTTGAATATAACCAACATTAGTTTTGAGCGCATGTGACTTAGGTCTACAATTCCTCTTAACATTGCAAGAGAGTTCAGAGAATGGAAATAGGCTCATCAATAGCCTCTAAGTACAGGCATCTCTTCCCCGGGTGAGATGCCTGCAGGGGAGCCTATCTATATACCAGCTGATTTGCATGTCGCTATCTAAATTGAGCCGGAAGACCACAAGGGGACGATCTTGCTTGGACCAAATTACGAAGGCATTTACGGCAGAATAATTAGATCTCACTTGTGGTATTAGAGCTGGTCATTATACTGTGCCGAGTAGTTACGTGCGCACAAGGGCACACAGCGTGAGCAGCAACACTGCCAACACAAGAATACAAACACGAACCGAAATTTGCAGATTGATTTTGATAAAAACGTTTGTATTCTTTGATTATCTTAAACATGATACAAGATTTTGTATCGAATGCTCCTTTACGGTCATGATTTTCCATGAATCATTGATGAATGATGAACTAATAAATGTCTCTCGGACAATACATGAAGTTCCAATACGACTTTACGACAAGACATTTTCTGTATGTTATTTAAGCCATCATGAGACTGTTACTTTGTTGTTGTTGTTACTTATTAGCTTTTTCCATCATTAGTTCTCATCAGTTAGATATTGTATGTCATCAGTTAGGTGATCTTAGTATGGGTCATAGATATATATTCTCTACTCTGTGACCGTGACATTACGCAAAGGAAAGTGTGGTTGTTTCGCTTGCAAACTATGGGGGATTTATCAACACAAATCTCTGGCGAGCATTTTATCTCGAGGCGATGTAAATTGTTAACAAGTTTGACGTTCTCATCATTCCATGACATTATCACAGTTTCACCTTCAACGTTCTGTATGAGTGCAGGAAGTGAAATCTTCCAGAGAAAATACAGCGATATTTACGCAAGAGATTTAAAAATATCTTCACAGTTTTGAATCGTGACAATGAATGAATAATGGTTTTGGAAAATAATATCCAGGAAGAAAATTATTGTTTTAGTTGGGGCCACACCAACCGTTTGAATGTAGCACTAATTGGTTTTAAATATTTTAATGAGTCGTTATTTATACTAATTAGTTCTTATTAATTTTAACCAGTTCCAATAAATCGACATGAAATATTTTACTCTACAGCATCTTCATCTTCAAAAAAATAGTATTGCATTTCAGGAACTGTAGCACCATGTGTCATCTGTAGCGTTGTTTTAGCCAGCTAGAAGTAAAACTAAAGTCCCACTCAAGCCAAAACAACATATCTCTATAAACGTGGGAAGCGCTGGCCTCCACTATCTTATCTCCAACTTATACAGTTGAAGGCAAGATAAAACTCGGACAATCTAACTTGCGTGATCTATGAATGTCACAGCGTTTTCCATCGTCTATCTTCCCAACAGTTGGCAGTCTACATCTGACTATACACGCAGCGTCCCACCTGATAATGGCGATAGATAACAGCTTGAAAATATTCCACATTACAAGAACTCATCAAGTTCAATATATTGATGAGACGCAAATGCTTGTGCGATGTTTTGACATCATGTGTTATTTATCACTCTTGCTGGAGGTGGAGTAGAATTCTTCAATAATGTTGATGCGATGTGAATGTTAGTACCATTATCGAGAGTTCCTGTACCACTCATTGCATGAGTAGAAATCGTGTGTTACACATGTCTCCACAATGTGGTTTTTTGAACAAACACATTTCCATTCTACACCAGAACGTTGTACATTGATACAATCATATTTTACTGACATATAGTTGTTTGTTATTCATGTTGCGTAGCATTTCTTATCTTTTGTTTTATGGATATCCTGCGTCATCAGTTTATCTTGCAATGAAATGTGTGTCTAATGTAAATGTTATAAAGTGTGTAATATAAATGTGCGATCAAATCTTTTGATGTGTAGTTTGATATACCGTTGCCAGTCGTAAATGTACATTACTACTTACAAATGATTGGGCTAGCTGTATTGGTGGGAAATATTTATTCCTAATTCTGTTACTAGGCTTTCAATCTATTGAAGTTACGTTGGAAGAGATAAGCCACGTTTTCTGAGGTGAGTTGGCAAGAATGCAATCTCATTCCGGAAAAAAAGATTGTCCAGGATTACTCGAGTGTAACATTATATACAGAGTTTTGTCTGTTTTCCAAAGTGTTAAATAGTGTATACGTCTGCTAATTTCACGTGCAGGGGGTCTGAAATCTGCAAATGCAATTATAGCAAAGTTAACCTCATGGCAACGCAGTCGAGTTTACTGACTTTATGAAACTGATGGAAAGCTATTACGAGAGTTTCAAGTGAGAAATCTGTCCAGCCGTCTATCATTATTACGTCTCTACTTGTGTTGACGTTTCAAATGATGCCATATCATTTTACTGCATCAACACTAGCATATAAAGCTTGTCCAGGCAATTCTCCATGATTTCAAGTGGTGGGAGACTGCCTATTTTGAATAATGTAAGCCAGTGTAGATCCTCATTTTCACCTTGTTCTTATTGCGAGCATCTTTATGGAATTGGTTTGTCAGTTCAACTAATTCCATCCATTCAAACTTTTTTTCTATTTGTACAGCACAGCCAAGGTTGAAAGATAATCTAACGTGGAGGAAATTTTCAACATTTAAAAGGTCTGTACAATGTCTGTCAGAGGAACGTTTCATGGAACTGAATTGTTAAAGTGTGCATGGAAATGTTATACAAGGGTGCATGTGCTAAAATTGCAGTTACTTTACGTGAATTTTCGCTCGCATATGTATATTGTTAACTTATCTCAACACAAACATTTAAATATTTTCTCAAAAACTACTCTACCGAAAGTCCATGTTTGGAATGTGAATATAGAACGCAGTAAATGCTAATTTGTGTATGTCTATCTGTTGAAAGCATTTTAAGAAAATGAAACCGCTTCTGTGGTGATGTTCCAATCAAGGCAGACATTTTTTTAGCACATCTGGTGTTTTATCTTGTGAAATCAAGAATGTTTTTATGCTCAAGGTTGGAGTTTATGATTAGTATCTAGAATCACAGTCAGTCTTGAAGCGCATGCATAACATGCTTGCGTTATGTGATGGAATGCGTGCTTTTTATTCAACGTTTTACCATCAAACGATTTAAAAAACATATGTTTGTTTGGATACATCTGTCTTAATCGTATTTCTCAAGTGCACCGTTTTGCCGAGTAGTTTCATAGTGCTTTGCTTTTAATGTAAATACAAGACAATTAACGAAGAAAGACGGCTAAAATTAATACCTTCCGTTACACGCGATTTATTCCAATTTTTTGATATCTCAATTTGCGTCACGAAACTCAAAGCGACAACTCCGTTTTACAAACAAATGGACAGCACATATGTTTACTATACAATCATTGTCCCATGCTTATAAGCTATTACTTTCTGTTGACTGTATTCATCCTGACAGCAGGTGATTTTTGTTGCTAAAAATATATCCATTCCTTACCATATACAGTTTTTGAAAAACAAAATAAGACGCAATTGATGGAGTGCGATTGTCCAATTATTTGCCATCAACAATTTTCATACGGTACACGTGAGGAAACGAGAGTATTTGTACGACACTGTTTAATACCTAGATTTTATCACGTGTTTTACTGTGCTGTCCATGCTATACTGTTGGCGTCGCGTATCGAACATTTTGAGCTGTTATAAAATTATTGTTAGATATTCGTCGGATGCCAATGTAGAAAGATAGGTTCAATAAAGATAGGTTATAGGGAATTTTCAGGTTTATTGATTGTTTTGTTCCCTTAAGCGGTTAAGCCTGCTTTCCCGTTTTTCATACGCACGGGAAAATTTATATTGTTTTAAATTTTACGTTTGAAATAACTAATTTGAATAACGGAAATAATTTAGTTGTTTGTATGAAGTGTATTTGTTGAGGTAATTTGGAAAGATTGTGCGTGACACACGCACGTATGAAAAACGCTGGAAAGCAGCCTACACTCACACTAGACGGAAATTTCCCACCGTCTTCTAATCTGCGCCAGGATCATGCGCGAATCACGCATGTGGTCAAAGGTCTGCAATTACTGTTTGATAAGCGCCATCAGGAACACCACAGGTTTTCCTACCATGTAGGCCCAATCAAAACACATTTATATTCAATGTGACGCATCACTGTGCTGCAAGAATTGTAAGTAAATTTATTCAATCATTAGTTTGGCATTTCAGTCCAAAGCAAAACCAGTTGACTGACAATCGTTATTGCACGGAAAGTATTATTGTAGTCTCACTTGATTGTTGATGAGCTTTGTTGAGAGACGATTGTCTTCAGGCGAGGTGATTCTAAAAATTATCTTTCGCTTCCAACGCTTGCATCATTATTGTCTATTTAGCGTAGTTTTGTCAATGCAAGTAATACTAATTTTTTCATTATAGCTGTTAAAAATAAAGTCTAATGTACTGTTTTTCCTTATAACTTGAGGGCATTGTCTAGGCATTTATCTTGACATCATTGGTTGTTATTTATGCACAGTTTTCTACTTGATAACTTTGATAGAGGTTGAATGTCGCACCTGAATTCTTCTTTTACAGATGAACGAACAAGAAAAAACAGTGAATGAAGAAAATAAGGATGAGGACCTAAGCTGGGGCTGGCGTTCGTTCAGACCTCGGTGTTTGCAATGGTTGAATTGTTCGCTAGGATTGCTGATTGTTCTAGCTTTATGCGGCATCGTTTACGGTAAGAAGCACAATGTTTACAATGGAATTTGTGAAAAGAGCAAGTAATTTTAGCCACATGCATGTTCGCCTAGTTTGATTGGGTTTAGTAATTGCCACGAAATTTCTTGCCTGCAAATCTGAAGTTCTGGAGGCTAGAGTTGTACAGGGTGTAAACCAACTACAACATGTTCGTGTTCAGTTTATCAATAACATTTTTACTCAGCAAGGAAATTCAGCCTTTTCGCGTGAAATGATACAAAAAAGGTGTCATTCGTAAACTAAAACCCTAATCTTTATTAAGATGAAAAATTCAATCTTTGCACGCAATATTGCGGACACAACAGCACCACTCTAAAACTCGATTGTCTTTTTTGAATATACCCTGCTGTATATTATGCCCTTTGACGAACAAAAATATGATAAGTGGCTGGAATGCGTGGGATATGCGAACAATGAAAAGACAACTGATGACGGAGTCGTGCTTTACTACTTTCTTGATGTTTTTTAGGTATGACAGTGAATGGTTTTAACTACGCAGCAATCCCCTCGCTTGAGAAACAGTTTCATTTGAACAGCAAACAAACAGGTCTGATGTCGTCTGTCAATAACATATCAAATATGCTCCTGACAATCATAGTCAGTTTTTATGGATCATTTGGAAACAAGCCTCGCTGGATTGGTCTCTCCTTGACTTTTGTTGGCTTTTCATTGGTCTTGTTTTCTGCTCCACATTTTATGATTGGAAGATATGAACCCCCCGCAGGTGAGAGTCTTTTGTGTTCTCATGTTCTGGTTTAAGTGGATGTTATTTTAATATCAAGTCATGGCTGCATGAGGCAGTACATGCTGGTTCACACTAGTTGTGGAGCTGGTTGTGGAGCTTTAAGCAACTGAGCTACAGAGAGACAGTTGTGGAGCTCTAAGCAACTGAGCTACAGAGAGACAGTTGTGGAGCTCTAAGCAACTGAGCTACAGAGAGACAGTTGTGGAGCTCTAAGCAACTGAGCTACAGAGAGACAGTTGTGCAGCTCTAAGCAACTGAGCTACAGAGAGACAGTTGTGGAGCTTTAACCAACTGAGCGACAGAGAGACGGTTGTGGAGCTGTTACCGCAAGGTTCGCTCCTGGTTAGGTGTGATAACTGTATAATTTCACTCTCAAAATCTCCAGCTGCAAAACCTTTGAACAATGAACTGAGTCATACCTCTTACATTTTCAGCCGTGCATTCTTCGCAGTTCTGTTCATCAGACAACAGCTCAAGATGTGAAGACAGTGACTCTATTACATTCTCCTGGTCTTATTTCATCATATTTCTGCTGTCTCAAGTTATCGCAGGCGCAGGTGGTGCTCCCATCTTCAGCCTGTGTATCGCATATCTAGACGAGAACATCAGCCCTAAACATACGTCCATATTTATTGCGATATATTACGTGTCTGGTTTCCTGGGTCCTAGTATTGGTTTTGTTATTGGTGGACAATTGCTGAGTACGTACGTGGACATTGATCAGGTCAGTTCCAGTGAAGCCCGGAGGATGAGAATGCATGAGAGTTTGCAGTCACGCGAGCTTGGTTAGCTGTTCTTAATGCTTTCCCAACACTATCATGTATTTAAGTGAAAACATAGTTGGAACATTCATCAAACCTTTATTTTGTCAATCTAGAGCTTGAAATGTCCCCTGTATCACGCGGGACTACCTACTGTCGTTGACTGGGGTTTGAACGATCTTAGTCATCAAGTACCAGAAAGTGTTAAGTGATGCAAAATACCAACGAAAAGAGTTCTAACCAATTTCCGGGTGTCGTCCTTGTTGACATAAACGTCGCTTAAATTGAGCAATACAATGACGCCGGGCATTAATATTGTTTTTCCATTTCAGCCTGAGGGTTTCGACCTGAGTCCCAAGGACCAACGCTGGTTAGGCAATTGGTGGATAGGATCCTTGGTCGGTGCATTTGTCATGTTCGTCGTAGCATTCGTCATTATGGGGTTTCCACGGCAACTGCCACGTGCTAAGGCACAGCGTGAAGAAGCGATAAAGAATAAGGAAATTCCTGCGCATGATCAGAAAATCTCGGGAAATATCAAAGATATTATACCAGCAACGAAACGTTTGGTGTGTAATCCCGTCTATGTTTTTCAGAGTCTTGGCGTGTGGGCTCAGTAAGTGTGACAGCATATCATTATAAAGTCTGTCGTATCCTACCGTAGCGTTTACCGTTACCATTAAGGTATCAGTAACCAATCAGATGCGTTTGATATGTCTGATTAACCAATCAGATCCGTTTGATATGTCTGATTAACCAATCAGATACGTTTGATATGTCTGATTAACCAATCAGATGCGTTTGATATGTCTGATTAACCAATCAGATACGTTTGATATGTCTGATTAACCAATCAGATACGTTTGATATGCCTGATTAACCAATCAGATACGTTTGTAATGTCTGATTAACCAATCAGATGCGTTTGATATGTCTGATTAACCAATCAGATACGTTTGATATGTCTGATTAACCAATCAGATGCGTTTGATATGTCTGATTAACCAATCAGATACGTTTGATATGTCTGATTAACCAATCAGATACGTTTGATATGTCTGATTAACCAATCAGATGCGTTTGATATGTCTGATTAACCAATCAGATGACGTTTGATATGTCTGATTAACCAATCAGATGCGTTTGATATGTCTGATTAACCAATCAGATACGTTTGATATGTCTGATTAACCAATCAGATACGTTTGATATGTCTGATTAACCAATCAGATGCATTTGATATGTCTGATTAACCAATCAGATACGTTTGATATGTCTGATTAACCAATCTGGTACGTTTGATATGGCTGATTAACCAATCAGATACGTTTAATATGTCTGATTAACCAATCAAGCGCGTATTAGGCCAGTGAGAGGTAGTGGAAGTCAAATCTGAAGCTCTATTAAGTTTGAAATAATTGTTTATTTCACAGAGTTGTTCTCGGAGCAGGTGTTGGTCCATTTCTCTATAAGCTCATCAGGATTCATTATGGAGCCACACAAGCTCTCGCTGGGGTTGGTGTAGGGATGATTGTGGGTATCAGTAGTACTTGTGGGACATTGATTGGTGAGTATCCTGATATCCTAACACATAAACACGTATGTGAAGAGTATTTGAAGGCTTCGTTAATCAACTGACAGTCAGCTTAAAACCTGTCGGCAAATACTTTGTAGTTTATGCTGAATGGTAATGCGATATTTTAAAGTCTCTTATTGTTTGGTCAATAAACCTCCCACCTTATACCACCAAGAGATATGCAACCAAAACAGTTACATCTTAGCCCAGGGTTCGCGCTAACTAGTTTGGAACAACCCAGCTCTCAACTACAAAAAGAATGATTTATACCTAACTCAACTTGAACTTAATAGGTTCGTTGTTTGGCAGCAAGACTGAACTAAAGAACAGTTGTAAAGTGGCAGCAAAGTATTGTTTTTTCTTACAACTTGTTGGGATGTGGATGACATTTATGTTTCTAGTCCCTGGATGTAATGATATCAACGTCCCTGAGCAAACGCAAAGGTAAGCGAAGGTAAAGGCGTCTTTATTGCAAGAGGGTCTGGACTCAACTGAGAAATACTCTAGTTGACAAACGATGAAACAACGGTTTGGGAACGGCCATACCGCTGACAATTGACTTAAATTTTGATATTTTTAGCTCGTGCAATTGTGATGGTGTGAAATACGTTCCAGTATGTAATTATAACACGACGTACTACTCTGCTTGCCACGCTGGATGTCCACAGCAGAACTCAACATCAAAGGTAAATATTACCAGGGCTTACCTCTGTCGCCAAACATTGTCTCATTCTACCTCCATGGGAGTACTTTCAGTTCTGCTAAACACCACAGGTTTTGTCCAGGAAGAACGTCGGGGGAGATGTAGTTTAGCTTTCCTCCCCTCGTAAAACTGGACAGACAAATAATCGGCAGAACAGTTTTGAACATTTAACATTAGTACATTTTAAAGAATATCATAAATTCTCAGCTTGAAGCAACCAAACCTTCGATCATATTTTCTCTAGATTTATAAAAACTGCTCCTCTGCATTCTCGAGTGGAAACGAACAATCTGAATTAAAGCTTGGTGTTTGTGATCGAGGCTGCAAGAATGTTTATATTTTCTTAATTGGTTTTACTTTACTCCTGTCTTTGAGTTATCTCAATGATATTCCTGGCAAGGTCGTTACTATGAGGTATTTACTATCTGGCCTTCCTGCCCCCGAGGTTGAATAATCAATAATGCAGTATGATTTTTTCCTGCAGGAGTGTACCAGACAATCAGCGTTCTTATGCTCTAGGTCTTCAGCTGGTCCTGTGGCGAGCTCTGGGCAGTCTCCCAGCGCCGGTCATCTTTGGATCGTTTATTGACAGATCTTGTATATTATGGCGGGAGTCATGTGGGCAGAAGGGAGATTGTCTGGCTTATAAAACTGGCAGTGTCGTCTACGTCATCATCTCATCATCCCTTGTACTTCAAGGTAAGTCTGCAAACTATCTCAAACGTAGTGCAAGGACGTGGAACAGGGAGGCCGGGGGAGGGGCATGGCCTTTTCGGTGGATAATAAAAAATCACCGGATAAAATCCAGCCTGCCTGCGTGGAATAGCTCCCGTGCTATCCTGCCCCCTCCGCCCCCCACACTTAAAAACAGGGTCCGCGGTCCCTGTAATGGTCCAGTGTAGGTAGTATTCTACAATAAGCTGTTGTGGTTTGTGTCTGAACTACCTGAAAAAGATATCTCAAACGTGGTGGTCCAGTGTAGGTAGTATTCTACAATAAGCTGTTGTGGTTTGTGTCTGCACTACCTGAAAAAGATATCTCAAACGTGGTGGTCCAGTGTAGGTAGTATTCTACAATAAGCTGTCGTGGTTTGTGTCTGAACTACCTGAAAAAGATATCTCAAACGTGGTGATCCAGTGAAGGTAGTATTCTACAATAATCTGTTGCGGTTTGTGTCTGAACTACCTGAAATTAAAAAGATATCTCAAACGTGGTGGTCCATTGTAGGTAGTATTCTACAATAAGCTGTTCTGGTTTGTGTCTGAACTACCTGAGAAAGATATCTCAAACGTGGTGGTCCAGTGCAGGTGGTATTTAGGTAGTTTAGATAATACTGCCTACACTGATCCTCTGGTGTAGTATCAACTACAAATGATCAATTTATTTCCTAGCGTTGGCCATAATATTCTTCCTGCTGTGTTGGTATTTTGCTTGCAAATCCAGAGCAGATCACGATGTCCATCAAAATGGCGGACCTTCGTCTGTTGAAGGAAATGGAAGTGTTTCCAACGGAAGTATTTCTTGGCCGAAAGAGCATGGAGTAGACAATCCTGTGGGTGTGAACGAAATCATTTGCGATGAAGTTGAGACGAAATTTTGACAGAAAATGACGGTGATAAAATTTCGACTTGAGAAACTACTCGAAAAGATGTATAAAATAGTTCTCGCTTGTTCTCGCATGTATTTCACACATTTTATAACTTGTAAATTGTTCGTATGTATAGTCGCATCTTAGGTAACAAAAAATTGGAAGAACAATCGCTGGACACTCTACTGTTTTTATGGTATTTATAGAACAAGTTAATCCTAACATATTGCTAGCTTACAAATGAATGGTTTTTGTTATATACTTAAAAGGTTCTCAAAAGGATAAAAATACCAAGGAATACTAGATTCCCCTTATTACGTTTTCGTAGCGATTTGCATTGTGGTTCTAGTGGTATCACTGATATTCAAGATGGCGTATTTTTTTGTCCTGACCCATTCAAGAACTTTTAAAAAAAGCTAGGGTCAGGTGTGCGATAGCCAACAGCAAAATATTTGCGAAAACATTCAATATTTTCATTCGAGGCCACTCTCTTTATCAGTGATACACTGATACCACTATAACCACAATGCAAAGCGCTACTTTTTGGGGTACTTTGCCAATCCTGCAGCACCACGTAACGGCGACATTTTATAATTTTATGGGTGTATGATGGTAAATTTACTCTGTAAATAGTTAGTTTGTTCTGAAATATTGCTTTTCACATTGTTATAATCGTTTACGAAAAATTACAGTACCCCAAAAATGGCGGCGTGAGAAAGGCTGATTACCCATCCTCGTCACCAGCCCCACCCTGGTTCATGGCTGTTGAGCTGCGGTTGAGCTGCGGCTGAATTCCGACGCAGAGGCTTGGTCGCACAGCATATGCTGCCTCGTCCCTTAGGGACTGTGGAAGAGTCGGACAATGTCCCTCTTGAACCAATCTCGTTCCCAGAGTATGCCTGTTCGCGGGTTAGGTACCTAACCTTGCTCTTGAACTGTCCGGGAGAAAAATACTCTATAGTACCGGAGAATGATACCCTATTGTACAGGAGGAAAGTAACCGGAGAAAGATACCTTATTGCCCCGGAGAAAAATACCTTGTAGTACCGGGGAAAAATACCACCAAGACGGGGGGTGGTGAACGTGAATGAAGAATTGGAAGACAACGTGTTCTGTACATGTATTTATATTTCTTTGTTTTTCTGCTTGTTTCAACAACTGTTTATCTTGTGGCTAAGAATGAGTCGTAAGCAAACGCCAAGTGACTTTTTAAAGCAGATCATAGGTCGTCCCGTGGTTGTCAAGTTGAACAGTGGCGCTGATTATAGAGGTATCATTTATACAGTTCATTACTACTGGGTTCATTTTTTCACCTGAAAACAATATTTCCTCATTGATTCTAGACGTATCGTAATGTTTTAGGTGTTCTAGCCTGCCTTGATAGTTACATGAACATTGCCTTAGAGCAGACAGAGGAGTATGTTAATGGACAGGTAAAATATTTGGTCATGAATACATTATGTATAATAGAAATGTACAGTTAAGGGGCCGATTACATGGAGCATTTTCAACCCTGGGGTTGAACTCAGCCCTGTTAACTGGGTTGAAATTTTTTGCGATTACATGGACGATTTCAACCCCGGGGTTAAAACGTTATACTATACGTTCTCGGCATCGATTCGCGGAAATAAAAAAGCCTTTATTTTGTTTTCTTGTAATAAATACTGACTCTTCCACAGTCCCTAACACTGCTTCTAATGCAAAGGACCATGGGAATGCCCCCCATCAATCAGCGCGCGTTGGGTCATTCAACGCGCATTAGGTAAGCGACTGGGGACGAGTCAGTAATAAATAGTCACTACCACGCATGCTCGAATAACTCATAATTTCAGCCCTGGGTTGAAACGACATGACAAAATTTTAGAGTTTTGTATTACAGACAGGGCTGAGATTTCAACCTGGTAAACAGGGCTGAGTTCAACCCCGGGGTTGAAAATGCTCCATGTAATCGGCCCCTTAACCTGTGGGGCATGTCAGTTTATACGTTACAGCCATAGAGTCCCTGCCCCATCATCTGTATTCTGAAAATCGTTGGCATGAGGTTGCATATTGTTCATCTTTGGCATATGGTGAGCATGGAATACACTCTGGTATCTGGTGCACCCATCTGCATGGAAAGCTACAAATCTGCCCTCTGATCACTAAAACAAGTTGTTTTTGAATCAAAACATTGAGGAATGCAGCTACATTCCTAATATTCCTTTGATAATGCCAACATATGAATGGTGTACAGGAAATTGTGCTAAAATTAGCTAATAGTTTGACATTCCCGAACGATTGACACAGAAACAACACATGTTTTATACAGAGGAAGCATCCATGGTTTTTTGGTAATTTATTCAATAAAATGTTGACCATGTTTCAGAATGCAATCCAACGTTGATTGTTTCCTTTCTAATTTAGTTGAAAAATAAATATGGTGATGCTTTTATTCGTGGAAACAATGGTGAGCCTGAAAATTGTTAATATTTTGAAAACTAAAATAATTTTGGTGTCTGAATAATCTTTTAACATCTTGCTGCAGTGTTGTACATCAGCACCCAAAAGTCAAGAAGATAGAAGCGAAAGATTAAAGCCACTTGGAACTTGTGTGGAGAAATTGTGTGATGTTATGAAATTGGGAAATACTTGTGTTGTTGCATGTGAATGACTTGTATCTATACTACCATACTTCATGAAATGATGAAATCTTCATAAAATGTGGAATTACTCAGCTAGGTATAACTATAAGAAACATGTATCTGCGACAGGAGGTGTGCGGATATTAAATATAATTTATATTAACAAAGATTTTAAGTTGTAAATATTGATATGTTTCTAAAGCTTTGCTTCCATTAATTTAAAAAATTCTCAATTTAAGTACAGGTATCCTAATTAGTTGAAATAGTATTATGTTCTTTCATTTTCTATAATTAATCTAACAGCCTCAGTGATATTTTCAACATTGTAGTCTGGAGTTCTCATGTTTGGTTGAAATATAACATCTTTATGAACGTGATCTGGCATCTCAACCAAAGTCTTTAAGTTGCCTTTCGAGTGCACTCCTGTTGCAACCAGTACTGAAATGACATTGGCAACATTTGTAGAATGAATATTTTCAGATTCTGCGAGTGAATGTTTGATGTGTTCTTTATACAAATTTCCTCCATAGATGTCTGTGTCTGGGTTGTCTCTAAAACAGAAATACATTCATTTAGATGTTTCATTGGCCAGGGTCACATTCCAAGAAAGGTTCACACTCCCCCTACAGAGTAAATTTCTGCCATCCGGATTGAGGGGGAGGGGAAAAATTGTTTCTGATAATAGTTAGTGTATATTAGGATCGAATTCCGAAGAGGGTAGAGGGGTTTAACTTGCAATTTCCTCCATGGGGGGAGGTATGGATATTTTCTGGAATGACCCATTTTGCTTGAAAAAATGTCAATAGTCCTGTCAATAGCTAATAATAATACTTTGACATATCAGCAGAAAAAGGCGTAGGAATATAGTTGCAATTCTGAATGTTTTGACACACAGCATGATTTTTGGTTGAGATGAGACGTTCTAGCAAGACCATGAACTTACCCTATTACATAAATCCTTTTCAGGCAATTTGATGTCTCAACACTAAATTTACTCTGCAAATATTTTTCAATAATTCTCTCAGCATACTTGTACGTTATCAAAAATGGTTTGCCAGTAATCATCCCATAGTTTAATGAATGGCCAGTGATTTTCTAAAAAAAGATATAAAATTTAATATAGAATGTATTTGCATATAATGGAAGCATTAAATATCATACCTGATACAGTGACTCTAGACACAATAAGAACGCACCATGACCAAATCTGAAGAAAATGTGCAATATATTATGTATAGAATATATTTGCTTGAGAGCACTAATTAGCCTAAACACCCGGTCACACTACACAACGATAATTGGCAAAACAATTGTGTTAGTGTCCACACTACAATGAAAAAATTATCGTTTGACTATAACAATTTTAAAATCACTCACCGGAGCGTTTTTTTTTTCAGTCGGACGATAACGATAAATTTTTGACCAGCGCATGTATACAAGTTATCGTTGTGTAATGTGACCTGGGCTTTAGGATAATGGTGTGAAGTTCAACAATGACCTTGGATATAATTGAATCCTGTTGAGTCAACCTCAAGGTTAATTGTTTCATGTGTCTTCAAGCAGATGGAGAAAGTGTCATAAACTATCCTACCGTGGTAAGGGTGCCTCGGCCATCCATAGTAGGTCGGTATTACAGGCAACCACAGGAATATGTTGATCAGGGATGTGGTCAAGACGTTTAGACGGGTTGCCGTTTGAAACCAGCAAATCTACACACAACTGAAGAGCACTTTCCCATCTTACTGGTTCTCCCAATAAAACAATGCCTGTAGAAATATGATAAAAAATTATTTTATATTGTAACCATAATTTTATGATTCATATTTAACCACTGTGGTTTGGGGTTGTTAAATAAATACCTTCAACATCTGGGATATTGCTTTCAGTTTGCAAACTCTGTTGAAAAATAAACACAGTTATGGTAATTGAATATAGACAAGGTTTGATCATTTTTGTTACATGAACTTCCTTGTTCTTTAGTAGATTGTGTTTAAATTATCCTTCAACTTACATTTAACTTTTCATAACGTCTCCCCTTGTCCACCATATCGAGCAAGGGATATGCTGTTCGGATGTCTTCTATTTCACAAATATTTGTGAAACCAAGTTTGATAATAGTTAAGGTATATTTTAATATGTTGATATGGTATATGACAAAGTCACTGTCAGCCTTTAACTGTCAGCCTTTGACAAAGTCATTACAGGTCAGCCTTTAATTGACAAAGTTAATTGACAAAGTCTCTGTCAGCCTTTTTAAAAACATAGAAGGATATGAGTTGGCAGTTGCTCGTATATTTTGCTGACCTAAAACTAAAACAAATTTGTCAAGCAAATCCTTATTCAGACGCATTGGACTGTGGGACAGGACCACTTGCTCTGGTTTCACCTACAAGGAGAAATATGGCTATGTTGTGGACTAATCAATTTTATTAATTACTGTAATATAGTTAATTATAATTTATTAAGGTTGCAAGCTCGTGCTTGCCACACAACTTTATTTAATACCTGAATGTCGAATATGTCGGAAAGACTTTCTGCTTTATCTGTTTCTAATTGTAATCCTTGATTTGTAAGAAATACAACAGGAATATTTTGATCATATAAAGTTTTGATTGATTCTCTAGCCCCTGGTATAAGCTGACGCCCACGTAATAGGACTCCATCTATATCACATAACACTCCTGAAAAACCTTGTTTTCTCTTCAGTTTTGTGCAGCAAAAATGACGAAAGGGTTGTCTGAGTACAGCAATATTTCTTGAATGTTTTAAGAAGATTTTAAAAACCATATTTTGCAGTATTTTGTGACCAGTACGAAACCTGTCACGCAAGAAGATGAATGACCTGTTACCGGCATGCACAGATAAAAAATAAATCCTTTGCTGGAACCATCGAAATATTCTCAAATCAACAATATTTAACAATTTCTTTGCTCCATTTCAATGAAATTGTGGATATTTACAATTTGAAATGTAACAAAATATGTAAACATTACAAAATATGTAACATTTTCCAACGGCGAAATATTTGCGTACAATTGTAAAAATACGAGATATTTTTTTCCAAGGGAGTTTTCTCAATTTCTCTCATGTGGAAACACCACGGGGGACCGCCATCTTGAAACGTGTTGTAAAGAAAAGTTGATTTTTTAAAAAGAAAGTTGATTTTTTGCTTTTTAAAATATGAGTGTGGATCCATACGGACCTGCTTCGCAAACCTTGACGTTTTTAGACACAGATGAAAATGATTTCGGCGCGGATACTCAAGGGAGTGCTTATGAATTTACTGATTTTACAGCGCCTTCTCAAACACAGACCCAGTCGCAAGCCAGTCAGCCGGTCGCAGAAAGTCAACAAGATATCGCTCCTGAGAAAGAAGAAAGCAGTAAAGAGAAATTAACAAACGGAGAGGAAGAAAGCGAATCAAAAGAAGTTGGAAATGTGACAAAATCCATGGGGGAATTAAACTTTGAAGAAGATGATGATGAAACATATTATAGTAAAGATCTCCCGTCACATGCTTGCAGGTAGTACATTATTTATATTTAGATAGATTTGTATTGACCTGGTTTGAGACAGATGCTCCATTTGGACGGACTTGGGCAAAGTTCATATGATGGATAACAGCTGTCGTGTGAAGAATAGACAACTACCTCAAAAATATAAGCAGAACAAACTAGCAACTTTATTGAAATTCCTTGTTCACTTTGTTTATTTGGGACAAAAATAAAAGAACAAAGCAATACTAGATTCCCCTTATCATGTTTTCGAAGTGCTTTGCATTGTGGTTATAGTGGTATCACTGATATTCAAGATGGATTATTTTTTGTCCTGACCCGTGCAAGAACTTTTAAAAAAACTAGGGTCAGGTGTGTGATAGCCAACAGCAAAATATTTGCAAAAACATTCAAGTGATACCACTATAACCACAATGCAAAGCGCTACGAAAATGTAATAAAGGAATCATCAATTTAATACTTTTATAGAACAATATTGCATGCTTCCAGAAAGTATGTCACCTTGGCTATAGAGCCTCGTTTTCATTGGGCTTAAGGAGGCTCCCTACAGTTCCGTGCGGGATGTTCGCGGGACAAGTACGTGAACTATCTCACGCAACTGCATGATCAAAACAAAACAAAAATTAACCATGCTTTCCTCAAAAATAAAGCTATTTCTGAAAGGTCTCTAATGGAAAAAAGCGTTGAATAATACTTCGTTTTGAGTGCCAAATCACTTGCGAGTCTATACAGCGATTCTACGTATGATTCGAATATCACTAGACCAAAAAATAGATACGAAACAATATTTTTAATTTTTTTTATACACTGTCAACTGACTCAACTGTAAAACATTTGCAAAATTGCATACAAACGTTTAAAAAGTTGTTTACTTCTCAAGAAAACGTTCACGTTTTTAGTTGTGTTTCTACAAGATTAAAGTGATTATATGTAAACAGAAAAATATTTCAGTTTCATAGCCTAATTGTTCATTTTTAGCAAAAAGTACAAAACCAAACATGAAACAAAAAACACGTCCACCTGTTAATAGGCTGTTACAGCTCATAGATTGAGTAAACGGCAGGATTCAATTAGCTTCAACCTTGTTTTCATCGATTTAATCCTTCACAATAATCCTTGGCTGTCCATAGCACTCAAATAAATCGAAAAGTTGACAAAAACAGAACAGTAAAAACAACATTGCGGCTCGATTTTGCTGAATGAAAACTCGTTCTGCGCCCGCGTACAATCTTTTACTAGTCAGCGACGCTTTTCAATAGGGGAATTTCTCGAGTTACACGAGGCTATTTTCTAACTTTATTTGCATTTTACTCATTAGTTTCATCGGTGACCTATCTTCAAATTTTGACCACGAATTTATTTTGCGGTAAATTTTATAAATTTCAAATTTTAAAAAAATCTGTAGTGTGGAAATTTCGCAATAAATTTTTCGCTTTTAAAAAAATCACACACTACAGAATTTTTTAAAACTTTCACCACAGTTGCAGAGCATCATTCCTTATTGATATATGAAATAAAAAAGATAGGTCACCGACATCGTTTTTGAGATAGCGGCACATTTATGGGTTAAATTGGAAGGCTTTATGCTGTCGTCATGTTGCCATGGGAACATTGATGTTGTCGAAATCTAGTTTAAAATGTTCCTTTGGTGACCAATATTGCCACCAAGTCGAAAAGAATTCGCGTTCTGCACGAATAAGCCTGTTTTACGGAATTATTGCTTAAACAAGAATAACTGTAGGGAGCCACCTTAACTCATGTCACACACACATGAAAACGATGCTCTTTAGCCAAACTGGCTTACCTTCCGGAAGGGTGTATTGATTATGACAGGTGGCCATCCAGTGTCAAACTGTACGTCCTATGGGTGGCCAATTTTGAGCTTAGATGCCATCATGCTTCTAGCAAGGATTCTGAAAGAGAATGTGATTCACTTCTACAGGGTTTCGGGCATTGTTTCGCTGCGAAAACCTTTGAATGTTGGGTATTGGATGCAACATGTTAGGATCTGTACTGCATACTAAAGCCCATTAAACAACTTTGAACATTTTATTTGAAAATTTTAGATACTGTGGCATTCACGATCCTGCTTCAGTTGTGCTTTGTAATCATTGCAAGAAATGGTTTTGTAATAGTCGTGGAAACACTTCAGGAAGGTATATTGAGATCAGTGTTTATAAATATAACAACAAACTTTCGCATTTTCATTTTCAATTTTTTCGTTAGGATTAAGACTGGGATTAGAGCTACGTTCTAGTTGGGATTAGGTTAGGATTATGATTGGGATTAGGTTAGGATTCTAGTTGGGATTAGGTTAGGATTATAGTTGGGATTAGATTAGGATTATGATTGGGATTAGGTTAGGATTATGATTAGGTTAGGATTCTAGTTGGGATTAGGTTAGGATTCTAGTTGGGATTAGATTAGGATTATGATTGGGATTAGGTTAGGATTATGATTGGGATTAGGTTAGGATTATGATTGGGATTAGGTTAGGATTATGATTGGGATTAGGTTAGGATTATGAATGGGATTAGGTTAGGATTCTAGTTGGGATTAGGTTAGGATTCTAGTTGGGATTAGATTAGGATTATGATTGGGATTAGGTTAGGATTATGATTGGGATTAGGTTAGGATTATGATTGGGATTAGTTTAGGATTATGATTGGGATTAGGTTAGGATTATGATTGGGGTTAGGTTAGGATTATGAATGGGATTAGGTTAGGATTCTAGTTGGGATTAGGTTAGGATTCTAGTTGGGATTAGATTAGGATTATGATTGGGATTAGGTTAGGATTATGATTTGGATTAGGTTAGGATTATGATTGGGATTAGGTTAGGATTATGATTGGGATTAGGTTAGGATTATAGTTGGGATTAGGTTAGGATTATGATTGGGATTAGACCTAGGATTAACATTGGAGGTAAGGATTAAAGTTAGCATTATGGTTAGAGCTAGGAATGTTAGTATTGAAGCTAGGAAAGGCTAGGATTAGGGGTTGGAAGGTTATGATCAAGGTCAGGATTGTGATTACAGTGAGGCAGAAGAATGTTGTTTGTATTTGTAGTCATATCATCAATCATCTTGTGAGAGCAAAACATAAAGAAGTGACATTACATAAAGATGGGCCACTGGGAGAGACTGTTTTAGAATGTTACAACTGTGCCTCAAAGAATGTTTTTCTGCTTGGGTTTATCCCAGCCAAAGCTGATTCTGTTGTTGTCTTACTTTGTCGGTAAGTGTTCTTATTTTTCACAAACAAAACGAAAGATAGATCTTGAGTAAGTGGGTTTTAATAAATATTGAAAAATATATTTTAAGAAATATTTTGTCACTTGAACAACTGCTGGTATCATCTGTTGCAGACATAGTTAAAGATACCAGTTGAAGTAATATGATAGTAAACTGATGGTATTCAAACTCTTTAATCTTCTTAGACAACCATGCGCCACTCAGAGCAGTTTAAAAGACATGAATTGGTATGTTCTTCAATGAATTTAGCCCAATTTCCTTATGGTAGTCTGTGTGTGATGTATGTCCACAATCATTTATGTTGTTATGAATTTACTAAGTTGGATAGAAAATGCAAGACAGTTATATTTTCTAATATTCAGGGATCCAACCCAATGGCAGCCATTGATTAATGATCGATGTTTTCTATCATGGCTGGTGAAAATTCCCGCTGAGGAAGACCAGATGCGAGCGAGACAGGTAGACATCATTTCATATTCACAGCAACTTTTTACACAAATATATTAATACATGTTGTTTTCTTAGATAAATGCTCAGCAAATCAATAAACTGGAAGAGTTGTGGAAAGTAAGTCAATTGTGAAAACGACAACTATACCGTAAGAATGATCTGGTTTTTATTAATTAGAATATTTGTTATTATGTTAGAACAATCCTGAGGCAGTTTTGGAAGATTTAGAAAAACCAGGTGTTGATGATGAACCTCAACCAGTCATGTTGCGGTAGGTTGTACATACTTGTTTATATAAAATAATAATCCTGATTTCTGGTCTTTGCTTTGGTAACTTTGAATTCATGTTGTATTGTTATATATCTCTGTTATTATATTTGAAGATATGAAGATGCTTATCAGTATCAGAATATATTTGGTCCTCTTGTCAAACTTGAAGCTGATTATGACAAGAAACTGAAAGAATCTCAGGTAATTATCATTCAATTAATGCCAGCTTAGGCTTAGGCTTAGAGTTAGGATTAAGGTTTGGATTAAGATTAGGATTTAAAGGTTAGAATCAAGGTTAGGTTAGGATCAAGATTAGGATTAAGGTTAGAATCTAGGTTAGGATTAAAGTTAGGATCAATATTAATGAAGGTTACGATCAATATTAGGGTTAAGGTTAGGATTAAGATTAGGATTTAAAGGTTAGAATCAAGGTTAGGATCAAGGTTAGGGTTATGATTACAGTTAGTGTTTGAGTTGAGCACAAGAATGGCCATAAGAATGAAATGAAATGTTGTTGTAGACGCAAGATAATATTGTGATCCGCTGGGACATTGGTCTGAACAAGAAACGTATTGCGTACTTTACTTTCCCGAAAGCAAATGATGACATTCGTCTCATGGCTGGTGATGAACTTCGCATTCGTTATATTGGAGAACTACATAAACCATGGCAAGGAGTGGGACATGTCATCAAAGTTCCAAACAGTATCCTCAACTTGGTCTATCAGTTCTTATCCTGAAACCTTTCCAATAGAATTTCCATACATAGTGTGCAGGCCATCCTAACCATGCCTGTCTATGCACCAAGAATATTTTTGGATTTCACTTAACTACATAAGTGCAGTATATACAAAGACACAACCCAAATAAAAATAATTACTTGAATTTCACTATTTTTTATTTGAACACATTTTGAAACACTGATATTAATTTGATGCATCAACAGATTGAGAGCCTTTGGACATTTTACTTTCCAAAACTACAATATTTAAAAGTAGGTAATGATAGTTGTACAACATTGAGATCATTGTAAATGATGAGCTAAGAAAAGCAGATTATTCTTAACAATATTTCTCAGATTATGGCGAGGAAGTGGGGATTGAATTGCGAAGTAATCTGGGAGCACCAATTGAGTGTACTCATAACTTCTGTGTGGACTTCGTATGGAAGTCAACATCATTTGATAGGTAAGTCCCTCTCTAGTGCTTTCAAGCAAATAAAAATTTTGATCTAGACAAGTCTAGAGAAACATTTCATCACAACTTGAAAGAGCATCACAAAATCAGTAATATTCCGACGTTTCATTACGAAATGTTGTAAAATGCGGTTAATATAGCCCTGCGAAGTTTGCCGTTTTTCAGTCATTTTGTATTACACACGGGAAATTGATACCTTTTTCAGAAAGTGGTATCAATATCCTGTGCGTAATACAAAATGACTGAAAAATGGCAAACTTCGCAGGGCTATTATCCGCATTTTACAACATTTCGCAATGAAACCTCGGAAAATTACTAATTTTGTGATCCTCTTTCAAGCTGTAATGAAATTTTTGTCCAGACTTGTCTAGATCAAAATTTTACTCAAAAAGGGAAAGGTCTATTGTGTATTTTTCCTGGTAGGATGCAAGCGGCAATGAAGACGTTTGCTGTGGACGAGACCTCAGTCAGTGGTTATATTTATCATAAATTACTTGGTCATGACATGGAAGAACAGATTGTGAAATGTACACTTCCAAAGAGATTTTCAGCACCAGGGTTACCTGAACTCAATCACTCTCAAGTCTATGCTGTCAAAACTGTATTACAGCGACCTCTCAGTCTTATTCAGGTATGCTTAACACAGCGAATTGGATTACCACAGAAAGTGTGTTGTCTAACATTTAATTTTCTTGCATGCTAGGGTCCTCCTGGTACTGGAAAAACTGTCACCTCAGCCTCAGTGGTTTATCATCTTGTACGACAAAACATGGGGTAAGACCATGCTTGTATTGTGTTCATCTCTTGCCATTCCATTTATTTTATCTCCAATCTCTTCTAGTCAAGTGCTGGTCTGTGCTCCAAGTAATATTGCAGTAGACCAATTGACTGAGAAAATACATAAAACAGGACTCAAGGTATCTGCCATTAAAATGTTCAATAATTATTTGATTGTTTATTGTATATATAGTAATATTTCTGACTGTTTCAACAAAAGCATCCTAATAGTTCCATGCTTAGAGTTTTTTTTTGATCATTAAGAATTAAATTTCAGCATGAGATTCAACACCTCAAATTACTATTTTGTACACACGTAAAAACGCACAAGTTGTAACAAACCTGCAGCAGACTTGTAGCAATGCTGTTTCAACAACATGTCAACAGAATGTATTCGCACTGCTTGTTCCCAGTTTGTTGACAAGTAGTCAACGGTTGTTGAGCTCAACAGACTTGTTACAAGTTGTTGGAACAACTTGTTATCATCCTGCAATTCAACAAGTTGTCAACAAGTTGTGAGTGACAACTTTGTAGCAACTTGATGAAATAACAGCAATGTTACAACTTGTTGACAAGCTTGCTATTTTTACGCGTGTACATGAAGCACTCAACATAAAAACTTAACATTTTCAGGTTGTTCGTCTTTGCGCTAAAAGTCGCGAGGCCATAGATTCTCCAGTGGCGTTCCTGGCGTTACACAATCAAGTACGGAACATGGACAGTGTGCCTGAGTTGCAGAAACTACAACAACTGAAGGATGAACAAGGAGAATTATCTTCATCTGATGAGAAGAGATATAAAACATTGAAGAGAAATTGTGAACGAGAATTACTTCAGGTAACTTGTGGAGAACAGTGGGATTTTCAAAATAATAAAAAAGATAATGGAATATTTTGATCATTGGGGGTCATGACTGACTCTATATTGTTATGCTAAGTTTGTTGTTGAAAAGTTTGAATGATTATCTTGATCTAGAATGCAGATGTGATATGTACTACATGTGTCGGAGCTGGTGATCCTCGCTTGTCAAAGTTCCGCTTCAGATCTGTCCTTGTTGACGAGTCAACTCAAGCAACTGAACCTGAGTGTATGATACCTGTTGTTGTTGGATGTAAACAGGTGAGCACATTGTGTGACTACAAGTATTTGGTTACTCATAACTGAGACTTGATCCAGCTTATAGCAGCTATAACATCTCTCAAGTCTCTTTACTTTTTTTTTTTTTCAATTATATAGCTTGTTCTTGTTGGTGACCATTGTCAATTGGGACCGGTCGTTATGTGCAAAAAGGCTGCTAAGTATGAATTATTTACGACATAGCTTTGGTTAATTGGTTACATTGTATTACAGTAGCAAGTTGTGATTACAAGTACGTGCTTGAAGGGAGTCAAACATGTACTACTTGAAACACTTGCGAGTGATTCGCGCTACTGGATTGAAATTGTTCTGTCCTGACTATATATTCTAATAATATTGCTCTAATTTGGCGAGGTTGATCATGTTTTATTTTTCCCTAGTGCTGGTTTGTCGCAATCCTTGTTTGAACGTCTGGTGGTTCTTGGGATACGCCCCATACGTCTTCAAGTGCAATACCGTATGCACCCTGCACTCAGTGAATTTCCCTCCAACTTGTTTTATGATGGCACTTTACAGAATGGCGTTACTGTTGGTAAGTCGATGGTGATTGTACGTTTAATTATCTCCGCCAGGAGGTTATGTAATCATCTGGGTTTGTGTGTGTGTGTGTGTGTGTTGCCTGTGAGCACGATAACTCAAGAAATACCAAACATATTCATACGAAATTTTTTGAATGCATTTCCCATCGGCTAAGGAAGAACTGATTAAAATTTGGTTGAATTTGGTTAAAAATTGAAGAGAAATAAACAAAATTTTGTCTTGCTTTTCCTGGTCAATTAAAAAAACTCACTGAATGCGTAATTAGGACGTGTATAATGTATGCACGCAGTACTAAGACAATAATGAGATGATAAACCTCATTAAGCTTCAGCCTTCATTATCTATTGTCTTAGTTGCATTTCACACGACCGAAATTCAATGGGGGCGGAGGTATGCAGTCTCTGAGTGCCCTCTAGTTGCTACTGCATTCATGACATGCAGGCCAGTGATAAACTATTCTTACATTGAGTATTTGATTGTGATTACAGCAGAGAGAATGCTACCTGGTATGGACTTTCCTTGGCCAGTGCCAGAAAAACCAATGTTCTTTTACGCGACCACTGGCCAGGAAGAGATTGGCTCATCTGGAACATCTTTTCTTAATAGGTTTGTATAATAATAGTTTTACAGCAACTCTTAGTTCTCAAAATACAATACACCAAAAATTGGTAACTGAACTGAACTTGAGAATTCTAAAAGAATCGACATGATTTATATTCCTTGTCACACAGAACCGAGGCTGCAGCCGTTGAGAAGATTGCAACAAGATTCTTACGTGCGGGTGTTAAACCTGAACAGATTGGAGTGATCACACCTTATGAAGGACAGCGTGCATATATTGTACAATACATGCAGTACAGTGGATCTATGCATGTCAACTTATATCAGGTATCGCGTAGGAATTTCTCTTTGATGTTCACCCCAACACAATATGTCACACCACAGACTTACGAAATAATCATCTTATTACTATAAACAGCTAGCTTAATTTGTCAAATCAGATTGCTGAGGGGGGCTGGATTAAAACTGTGTTTTAACTTAAGTGAGTTTTATGCAGGATATTAATATCTTTGTAAATATTTGCAGGACATTGAAGTTGCAAGTGTGGATGCTTTCCAAGGACGAGAGAAAGATTACATTATTTTGTCGTGTGTTCGTTCGAATGAACACCAGGTAAACGATTTGACTTGCCGAGACAACATTCTGCTCCATTTTGGACGAGTTTACATGAAAATTGAACAACATGTGATATATTTGCAACTACTTTCTTGTTGCCGCATGTTGACCATCATCTGCTAAATAAAATATTTTATTCTCAGGGTATTGGTTTCTTGCAAGATCCTCGCCGTCTGAATGTTGCATTGACTCGAGCAAAGTTAGTTTTTCTTTTCATTGAATTATTTTCAATTGATATTCAACTGAAGTAATTCTTCCTCTATTTCCGACAGATATGGAACATTGATCGTTGGAAACCCTAAAGTTTTGTCGAGAGTAAGTGTCTCTGACGCTCGTGTTTTATATTTATCTATTAAGTTCAAACACAACCCACGACAGTAGTATCTGTAAAAATGGCAATGTGTTTATTTTGTTTTTACAGCAAGAACTGTGGAATCATTTGTTGAACTATTACAAGGAGAACAAAGTTCTTGTTGAAGGTAGAAGCTGGCTTTGCAAATTTAGAATCTAGAGATTTTTATTGATAAATACGTTTGTTTCTATAGGTCCGTTAAACAACATGAAAGAAAGTATGATTCAATTCAGTAAACCAAGAAAACTTGTCAATAAAACAAACCCTGTAAGTATGTCGTGATCGCTGAAGTGTGCATTTCGTAGAAAGGAACACTTTCATTGCCACGACTGTTACGTCAGGCTTATCTTATATTCTCAATGTTTATTCCTATAGGGTGGTCGTTATATGAGCTCTACGATGTTTGACGCCCGAGAAGCTCTAATGCCTGGTCGGGTTATTGGTCCCGGTTTTCCACCCCAGATGGACCCCACGGCGACATATCAAGACGCGTACTACAGAACGCACGACAGGATGGGTTATATTGGCGCTGAGAGGACAGTTGCCGCTGCTGTGGGAAATATTCCTATTCCTGTAGGAATGTTCTTACCTCCCATGCCACCTCAACCTCCACACAGCTATTACAATCAAGTACGTTCAATTAGCCTCGTTCCCAGGCTTTTCCCTCTTTACCGGTCTTGTAGAAGAAAAAACCTAAATTTTCCATTTACCTCTAAATACAAGACTACATCATTTTCTTATTTGCTGATTGACACCCGTCTGCTGCATGACAGTTGTATTGCGTAAATCAAGCACACAATTACGACAATTTAGGCGAGTTGTGTGCTTGATTTACACAATACAACTCGGGTTGTAAGCAGTTGCATGCCACAGGCAAATGTTATGTTGTGTACATGTAAATCGAGCTTTACGGACCAGTAGATGCATGGTGGTAAAATTGAGCAGTGTTTGAGGGTAAATATGATCTCCTCTTGTGTTCAGGCAATGGCAGGTCGTCCAATGCCAGGGGTACGTCAACAACATGTTCCTAATCAATATCGTACTAACCGCGCTCCAGCTTCAAGTAACAGACATCCAATGAATCATGCGCCTTATGGAGGTCACATGAACACTAGTCAAGCCAGTCAGGTAAGCTTCAAACATAAATGAATACATGCACTATATCGAAAGTAAAACCATTTCGAGTAGATAGCGAAGAATACAAACTCTGCATGTAGATCAATTATCGTACAAGCGTGGAGACCGGGGACTCAGTACATATACTACTTATACAAAAGTGGGAACAGTACTGTTGTTGCAAGGTACCAATCCCTTTTCTTCAAATGTAGAGGCTATGATCAAAAATTTTCTTTTTGATCACTTTCAGCAAGAACTTTTTTCCGTACAAAAAATACTGAAAGAACATTTTTCAGGAAGGTGCATCATATAGCTCGCAGTCTAAAATAATAATTTTTGTCACAATCCTTGGTATCTGTGAGTTGACTGGCAAGTTTACTAATCACTTTCCTACCTTCAGGACGCCTCCCAACCATTATCTCAAGGTCCTCTTACTCAAGGTGGTATGTCTATGAGTCAACCAATGGCGTCTCAACCTCTCTCTCAGCCTGAACTGTCACAGGTAAATATCGCTGATATACTTTCACTAAGCGTTACCGAGCATCACATGCTGAACTCTTGACAAGCAAGAAAATTGAGCTGTTGCAAACTATAGGCCCTCTACTAGGAATCCAACCTGCGGCTCTGTGATTCCAGTGCAGTGCTCTAACCAACTGAGCCACAGTTGACGAGCTCGACCACAATTTCATGTATATATACTGAGGTGACAATGTCAGGTGTATGGGGGAAATATCAGGATCTCACTCGATAGATATATTAAAACATTGTGTTGTTCTTATAGGATAGTTATCTTGCTGAAGATTTCCACTTGAAGTCTCAAGGAGATGCAGTCTTGTCTCAGGACTCAACATATCAGGGTGATCAGGGATATATGAATTCCCTGCCTGATTACAGTCAACCTAACTACGCCTCCCAGTATTAACTGCCCGCCCGCAGGCATGTAGGGAGCCCGTGTCAGGCCAGGGCTCCCACTGCCCCCACTCAGGGCAAGGTAGGAGGGAGATGGAGATGTACCCCCGGAGAAGACAATCCCTTTGTTGAGAAAAGTTGAGAGTTTATTTGAAGATCATTTCATCGTTCAGTATTAACGAGTTGGTTATTACAGCTGAGCCAAGCAACCGTTTTATTGGCAACCGAAGAGAAAAGCTTGTTGGGAAGAGTTTGTTGGGAAGTTGAGAGCAAGAGTTTAAATGACTAATCTGATATTGTACCTTTATTGACTGAATTTTTATCTGGATTTATTATCTAACAGTATACAGTTTGAGTTTAATGTTGTTGTAATTAGGACCTTATCGTACTATAGCTGCGTCAGGTGTCAAAGTCGAAATAATTATAGGTAAAGTACATCATGTGAACATCAAGGAACAACTTCATAATCTAGTTAACTAACTCTAGTTGCTTGGGAAGCTTGTAACCGCTCATTTTTATAAATATTAAAACATGCATTAAAACGTTTCATCAAAGAGTATTTGACCTTCATCCCCACCCGCCCCACCATCCACCTCCCCTCACCCCATTCTAAATCATTTTTCTGTTGCAATTTACGCATGATATATCGAAGATAATTCTCAAACGAAACTGAAGACTACAGAACTGACCATGCCACATGCTGGTTAAAAGCATTTTTTAATCTGATTATGGCGTCATGGTAGTTAAACATGATTGATTAATCACATGCAAATCCGTGAAATCTTGATGAACATCAAAACTTCAGGTGAGATAAGACCGCGCTTTAATCCCATAGAAATAATAGATATCTATTATTTATTCATGAGTTTAATCCGAGCGTTGAAGGGTTTTTGTTGATGGAATTCTCGAGTGTAAATTTTCTACATTTTTAACCAGGAACAGCTGGAAAAAATGCAACAATAGGCCCCCTCTGACAGGAATGCGACCCTCAGGTGCAGCGCTCTAAGCTGAGCTACAGAGAGTTGCGGTTTCGACAATAGCCTCTTTGGAGTTATCAACTAAAAATAATCTGGTTAAGTGACTGGATACTGGATAGCTGTGAGAGTTCTAAACAAAGGAGAGTATGACAAGAAACCTTTTCTTGCCCTCCAGACATTGTTAACACTGCTTTACACTATCTCTGTGATCACAGTAGGAATTTTGCATGCGTAAATTCTAAGTTTTGAAGGATTTGTGAGAGACTGGTATTGCAAACCGTATATGCAAAATTGTTGTCTGTTGACATGAAGTACTTCTATTTAACCTGCGCTGGTCAAGTGGTATCTCGGGCTCACCTGACTGTTCTTTTGCCCGCAGCGTTTGTTTACTAAATTTTGTTTTGTTTACTGCAGTTTGTTTACAATGTATGTTGTTTGTGGACAATAATATTATGGTCATGATAATAAATTTGAAAGAAGGATGATTATTTGCAGAAAACTTGCTTGTTTTTGTGGCTATACATATCTCGCAACTCAACGCGAAGTTTCCAACTGATTTTTGATAAAAATTTGAAAGATGAAGAAATTTAAGGACAAGCTTGGCAAAGGAACGTCCCCTCATGTGAGTAGAACAAAGCGTATGTATGATACTGCTGTATCATATATACAAATGGTTTTTAAAGATTTACATGGACACCATCAAATAAATGTAACAACTATTATTGGTTATTATAGATTTCCCATATATGGTAAATTGGTAAAAACCATGTTTAATATGTACCATTCATGGTACTCTAAAGCCATTTTCCACTAGGCAGAATTTTCCGTGCGGAGCGGAATTTCTCTTTGTCTTGTAATTGCTTGGGTGGAACTAAGGCCACATAAAAAATTACTTGTTTAGCGTCCTCCAATTTAATTTTTTTAGGTCGGGCGGGCGGTTTTTTCTTTCGTAAAATGCAACACAAAATTCTGCTGAATGGAGGAAATCCAGTATACTACCACAGTCAAAACTCACTTTAATTCTTTCAAAATCCATTCATGTTTTTTAATGCCGTTCATGTTTTTAATAAAACAGCAAATTACCATTTGGCGGTCACACGCGCGGACACTTTATCTGCGAACAGGCATATTCTGGGAAGGGGGTACTTTCTGTAAACGTATTACATAGCCCCCCCCCCCCCACTCCCAGTATATCCATCCCTGTGTTGCTGTCCATTGCTGTCTCAGAAAGTATACGTATTTTGGTGGGAAACAACCCTGACCCACTAAACTGCAGTCTGTCCACTAAACTATGCCACATTAAACGTTGGATGAGGTGATTATTGGCATCCTTAACTTTTTCAGGTTTCTATGATTGAGTGGACGAAACATGATGATAAAATGTTGGATTATATTGTCAGTGATGAAGAAAATAAACTGAGGTCTCAATCTATGCATGTCAGCAAATCATCATTCTAGGCAGACCACTAGTGCACTTGGTGTCATTTTTAATGTTGTATTTCTTGTAATGCAGATTGGCGTTATTGAGAAAGGGCGTTTCTCCTTTGAAAAAGAAATCTGATGGGAAAACAATGTAAGATAATGCCACTGTGGGACTCTATCATCACCATCTTTATTACCACCATTGTTATTACCACCATCATTACCACCTTCGTCACCGACGTCACCACCTTCGTCACCACCATTGTTACCACCATTTTTACCACCATTTTTACCACCATTTTTACCACTGGTCATTAGTACCACCATCATTATCACCATTATCATTACCACCTTCGTCACCACCACTGTCACCACTGGTCATTAGTACCACCATCATTACCACCATTATCATTACCACCTTCGTCACCACCATTGTTACCACTGGTCATTAGTACCACCATCATTACCACCATCATTATTATTACCACCATTGTCACCATCATTACCATCACCATTGTTACCATTGTTACCATCACCATCGTTACCATCACCATCGTTACCATCACCATTGTCACCATCACCATCGTTACCACGACCATCGTTACCATCACCATTGTTACCATCACCATCGTTACCATCACCATCGTTACCATCACCATCGTTACCATCACCATCGTCACCATCACCATCGTCACCATCACCATCGTCACCATCACCATCGTCACCATCACCATCGTCACCATCACCATTGTTACCATCACCATCATTACCATCACCATCGTTACCATCACCATCGTTACCATCACCATCGTTACCATCACCATCGTCACCATCACCATTGTTACCATCACCATCATTACCATCACCATCGTTACCATCACCATTGTTACCATCACCATCGTTACCATCACCATCGTCACCATCACCATTGTTACCATCACCATCATTACCATCACCATTGTTACCATCACCATCGTTACCATCACCATCGTTACCATCACCATCGTTACCATCACCATCATTACCACCATTATCGTCACCACCTTTGTCACCACCATTGTTACCACTGGTCATTAGTACCACCAACATTACCACCATGGTATCATTTCAAGCTCAAAATAGTGACACTGTAATTAACAGTTAATTACTGTAGATGGGATGTTCAAGTTGTCAAAAATGTTGCTTGTCTAAACCAGACTTTCTATTATGGCAATCTCATGATCACTATCATCATCAATTATATTTACTGTAATAAGGATGTTAACTATTATCACCATCATTATCACCATCATCATCAATTATATTTACTGTAATAAGGATGTTAACTATTATCACCATCATCACCAGGTGTTACCTGTATTAGATGAATTCTTTATTTCTTGTCAGGTTGGATGTTGCTTGTGAACATGGTCATGTTGAGTGTCTGGGAGTCTTGCTTGAAAGATGTGCAGATGTTATATCTGTCAGTAAAGCAGGTCAGGAAAACGAAACTCATCTATGGAAAAGAAATGGTTTACTGTGCACTAAATATTTTTTATCTTCGTATGTTAGGCAGCTCAGCACTTCACACTGCTGCCAAATGTGGCCATGCAGACTGTATTGTGAAGATGCTACAACATAAAGTGCGAGTTGGCAGTCAAGATCCAGAGAAAATGACAGCTTTGCATCATGCAGGTGAACATTTTAACCCTATAGAAATAATTTTAGGCAAGTAGTAAAAAAGTTTATCTTCATGTCCTGACTTATTATTTTCCCAGCACCCTCCCTTTGACGAGTCTGGTGTTAGACAGGGGTGCAACATGTATGAATTATATCTTGATCATTATGTTTTCTTCAGCAAGCAAAGGACATGTGGATTGTGTTCGAATTCTCAACACAAATGGAGCAAAATTAAATATTAGAGATAAGGTTAGAGGTGTTTGTTTTACTTTATCAGTTGTGATTACTTTTTTATCACAGCATTTGTTGGTAATATTTTATTTAATTATCATTTTCTTTCAACTGTTATTTCAGGATGGACGAACACCTTTACTGTTAGCAATCCAGGCAGCGCGAGAGACAATTGTGAAAATACTTGTGGAAAATGGAGCAAAAGTGAACCTCACTGACAGTGCACATAAGTAAGATAATCCTATCATGATATATTCATGTTGTGGTATGTTAATCAAATTATTGTTTATTCTAGAACACCACTAATGTATGCTTCTCTGATTGGTCTGAAAGACACTGTATCAAAGTTATTACAACATGGTGCTAATCCATTGTTACGCGATACAAATGGTCACCAGGGTATGTTTTAGCCTGCTGTCTAATGTGAGTCAGAACTACCGGTACAGTAGATGTTAAAAAACTAGAGGTTCTCTGGTTTTTAAATATTTAACAATTATTCGCCGAAGGCGAGGTGATTATCGGTGAATAAAAACCGAGACGAAGTCGAGGTTTTTATTCACGATAATCACCGAGCCTGAGGTGAATAATTGTTTTAGTATAATTTCATAGGTGATTATTTGGAAAAAAATAAGAAAATACACATTTCTTCGTCATTTAATTGACAAAAGACACAAAAAGGCTTCGGCCGCCATTTTGAAAATCGCTTAGGTGATTATCGCGTAATAATCACCTCAACGGCAACCAATCAGCGTGGAGAATTTTCAATAATCACCTATGTAATTATACTAATTATTATTAGTACGAGCTTTCGACTGCCAGTCTGCAGTCTTCAACGGGTGGATTACGGTTGAAGACGGTTGAAGACTGCAGACTGGCAGTCGAAAGCTCGTAATAATAAATATTTAAAAACCAACGTCTAAAAACTTATTATGAATAATCCTGGTTTCGCTTCAAACATATTTAAATGTTATATTTCAGCTGAAGATTTTGCACGCATCAGTGGCTATGACGATATTGTCAAGACTATTTCCAGCACTCCTGTTTTACCTCAGTGGAGTTATGGTATGCAACCTAATGGAAATGATAAAAATATATTTGATTTACTAATAGTATTTTTATGTTTCAGCTGAAGAATATGTGGATGACGAGGACTCACCTTCTCAAGATGTATGTTTCATTCACAAATTAATTATTTATTTTCTTTATGATAATGACATCTGTATGATAAAAAACATGCTATCAGGCAGAGTGGAGAAATGTCAGGATGTTGGGCGTCTACGCACAACATAAATAATTGTTTAGCCACACGCCTTACATTTGCATCAACTTATCATAACAACTGTACTGTGTAGCTCAGTTGGTTAATAGAGCGCTGCAACGGATTCGCAGGGTCGCAGGTTCAAGTTCTGCCAGAGGGTCTATACTGTAGTCTGTTGCATTTCTCGCAAATTCTCCTGATTAAGTCTCATAAATGCATAAAATTCACACTTAAAATTGTGGTAAAGAATACATGCAACACAATACATCTTTTCATAATGACGTCAAATGGAGATAAACACAAATTATTGCCAAGCCAATCCAATTTCCTTTAACATCATTTGCATTGGAAATTGCCCTAAACATTTCCCCTGGGGACATTGCATGAAGTACATATCCACGTTTGACGTCACTATTTTATTTTCTAGGGTTCTGGGATTGGTAGTAATGATGGATCTGATGTTGCTTCAATTTTATCTCATCAAGATTCAGACCATGGGTTTGGTGTAAGAAATTTTTACCTGTTTACTACAGTACTTAATATCAATTTACAGTACTTGACTTCATCCTTCATCAAGTGACAATGCTTCCTCTATTGTTCTACTCTGTCCAAAGGCTGCTTTACAATATCAAAGTTTCTGTGATCACAGTAGGAATTTTCTTTGCATAGGTAAGTTTTGAAGGATTTGTAAGAAATATTTGAGGAAACTGACTCTGTGTTAAACACTAAGTCACTTCGCTCAAACATTTCTTACAAATCCTTCAAAACTTAGAATTTACCTATGCAAAATTTCTATTGTAAACACAGAAACTTTGACAGTGTAAACCAGGCTTAACTCCAGAAGATTTTACACATGAAGGGAGTCTGCTGGCATTCCGTATGGGTTGACCTCTCTAGTAGATTTACCACTGAATTTTCTACATTTCTTTCTACAGAGTGTGTATAGCAGTGACAGACAATCCTCATTGGTACGTTGTTTCTTTAGAAAGCTTACCGGCGCTTCATTTTCAAACTTCTTGTTTTGGAAATGTTTTCTTTTGTATGTTGAGCATTCTTGCGAAATGAGATGTGCAGTGTCACTCACATTTGTATTGTGAAATTAAGATTTCATCCTTTAAGCAAACTTCTCTCCTAATCCTAGTGTCAACATCATTAGCGCGATAATCTTGTGTTAATCCGATTTACAATTGATTTCTATATGTAGTCAAGTCGTTGAGGAGGCGTTGACGCCTTTGCACCTAGTCTAATTAAACCTCATTCTCGTGCATACATCTCTGAGTGTACAAAAACTGTTGCTGTAATACCACGTTATAGAAACTGCGTTCTTTAGTAAACTTTTGTGGCTGTAATATCAAGTATTTTAAGTCGTCAGGTAGGAACGAACTAGGGTGTTTCTATATTTTTGTACAAGATACGCCGCTGTGTAAAAGCTGATTTACACTCTATCACGTAGGTGAATTTTAAGTTTTGAAGGATTTGTCAGGAATGTTAGGAAACTGACTCATTGTCAGTTTCCTCAAACGTTTCTTACAAATCCTTCAAGACTTATAATTTACCCAAGCAAAATTCCTACTGTGATCACAGAAACTTTGATGGGGGTAAACCACCTGCATCCTTTACGTATCAGAAAGAATTTTGTTTTCTTTACAGCATTCTCTTTCAACATCTGTTTCCTCACCGTCAAATCCAAGAAACACAGTAAATATTGGTAGAGTCCAGGTAAGTCGCGCTGTGGTACGCCAATATTACACTACTGTACTTCTTTGTGCAGCAAAGTACCACGTATAGGTATACGCGGAAATCTTGCTATCTACGAACTTACATTTTGAGTATGTTGAGCTTGTATCAACACAAGTACGCGGCAATAATCATTACCAGTTAGCTACGTCCACAAATCTTGAATTATTGCACCTTGCATAACGTGAATGACCTGAATTGAGAAACGGATCATTCCTTCTAAAGGGATCATCTACGTCAGTGTTAATCTGAGAGATCAACGCGATCTAGGGAGATTACCGCGATCTATATTGCCACGAAAACAATGTTGCACATTTTGGTTTTAGAAGTAACGATGTAACGGTCTCAATAGGAATTTTGCATGAGTAAATTCTAGGTTTTGAAGGATCTGTAGGAATGTTTGTGGGGACTGTCTTAATGTTAAACACCGAGTCGCACTAGTGGGTTCCCCCAAACATTTCTTACAAATTCTTCAAAACTTAGAATTTCCTGGTGTAAAATTCCTACTGTGATCACAGAAACTTTGATAGCCAGGCTTAAGTGTTGCTTGAGAGTTGATGAAAGTTGGACTGGATATTACCACACGCGTTATGCGAAAAACTGTCATTGTAATTTGAAGCAGCTCACAGTTGATGACAGTAGGCAGCACTCATCATGCCGACAAAAGAAAAAAGTCGCTTTGATGGATGAACTGTCTTGATCTGTATATGATGCCGCGTTCAGATGATATCAGTCGCTACTTCCTCGCTATAGTTCATCTCCACAAACCTCTCAAGCGTTTTCTTATTTAGGAGTTGGAAAGAGAAAACAATCGACTCAACGTTCAACTTCGCACTTTACAGATGGAATATTCACCGACTCAGGTCAGAAATTGTTCATGAATAACTTTCAAACAAAGCTTTAATAGAGAATTAGTTACAGTCCATGTTTTGAATGTTTTCCAACAGTTGAATTAACATTACGTGTTCATGAGGATCTAACGTAGGTTTCCTTATCATGCAGTAGATCCAGCTGCAGTTATCAGAGTTTGCAAAGGCAGGTCTCATGCAGATCACATATAAAAGGACACATATTCTGGTATAGAGTTGACAGACAGTGTATTTTATTTTTTTTGCTCCAACAAGTGTATGTCAACATTTGTATCAGCTGTCCTGCATCGCTTACCTGAAACCCTCTAATATTAGGGATGTTCCGGATTGTACTGGATGCTAGTGTACCGGATAATGACCGGGGATACTCGTGGTGGTACTTGGAATACGTCACTAACTTTTTGTCATAAAATAGTCCATTCTCTGTTTAGTATGTGGTACAAGGATCGTGTGACAATATACAGCAGTTTGCATCATACTGTATATAGATGTTTTGCCACAGTGAACGATAATTTATTCTCAGGTTCTGTACCTAATGTGTCGTTTCTGAAATATCTAGGACAAAGCATATGCGATGAGTTTGGAAGATGTTAGTTATGACCAAGTTAATGGTAAGGTGTTTTGACAGTAGAAAATGTGAAAATCTTATTAAGTTTGCTTTTGTTACATGGTACTTCATTTACTTTCTCAAGGTGACACAGAGCAAAGCAAACTAGAAAATCTTCAACAAGAAATGCATGCACTGCAACTAGACAATGAACGATTGAGAAATGAAAAAGTAAGTAAAAATATTTCTCTAATTCAAAGAAGGATAGCTCAACCTTTCACTACAGTGAAATCACAAGTTTTTCATATTTCTTGTAGCACGACATAAATGTTGACGACAGTATACCAACAATACCGATTACAGTTTATCAACAATTAAAGGTACAGTGACTATTTTAGTGTTGGTTTTTTGACGAGGTTGCTAGAATTCCTTCGTGCAGGTCAGTCAGAGCAAACGGCCTCAGAGGTCATGGGTTCGATTGTGGGCTCATGACACAAATGTGAAACATTTCTATTGAGTTAGTAGATAAATAAGGTATTCAATTTCAATAATCGTGTATTTAGTAATTTAGATGTTCAATCAATGTAATTAAGTTTCAGAGTTCGCTATCAAATATAAAAAATGGGTGTGAAAATTTCTGCAAAAATGTAGACCCCCACATTTCTTGGAAATAGGTTCTGATCATTTTCCCGCCGCTGAAAGTATGCTAAAATTTCAGGAGTCTACGGAAGAAGAACTCTCTAGTTTGAACGTCAATTTTCTGAATGTGAAAAAAGAAAACGAAAGTTTAAAACGTGAGGTAGGAATGTACTTCAAATGTTGCAACACTAAATGCGCTTTTAAACAACATTAACTTGCAGTGTGTTCATTTAGCTTTCAAAACTAAGACTACAAACACAAGATGAGCTACAGGTGAAAGCAGAACAAAAGATCTGTGCATTAGAAGAACAAGTTGGGAGACTTCAAAAACAACTTGTGGTAAGAATTCTACACGTCGAAAATCATTATACATTGGATTGTACAAAACCATTGTTGACCTGTTTTCAGTCATAACTACGATGTTTAACTACGATGTTGTTTACAGGAGGCTGACAGTGAACATTCAAAAACCATCAATATATATAGACTTCATTTACTCAACGCTGTACAGGTACACTATTATCATTATATCATTGTTACATTTTAATTAAATTTAATTAGAAAGTTGCTAATAGCGACTACATGCAATTTGTTACATAATTATGTATTAATTAAAATCACTGATTAATTAAATATTAGGTAAATTACTTTACTTGTGTATGCAAATTCTGGTTTACATTATCAAACTTTCTCTGTGTATCCTTTGTAACAAATTGCATATAGGAATTTTGCATCAATGGAGACTGTTTAACATTGAACCAGTTCCCTCAAACATTTCCTTCAAAACTTAGAATTTATCCATGCAAAATTCCTACTGTGATAATGTAAACTGACCTTTACATCACAATCAATACGGATTACATCATTAACATTTGTTAAATACATTACTTGTATTATTATCTATTTACAATCCTTACTGCTGTCCTTTCCTTCAAGAAATTGACCGAAACGTTTTATTTATCAACTCTGCAAGTGCATAGCATTTTCTCGTAATTGTTTACTGAATGTTGTATCTTGTTACAGGGAGGTATGAACAATGATGTTCGAAAGGCATTAGAACTTATTTTGAAAATAAGATATGATGAACAGTTTTGCTAACATTTTGTGAAGAGCTAGTGACATCTTTGTGGTTGAAAGATAATATTAATGGTTTGAAAGATATATGTTTGTATGAGGTATATAATATATATTTGTATGTATTTTTAATTTAATATATTTGTAAATAAAAGTATTGCAAAATTACGGCAATGAACATTTTTTGTCAGGATCACTCCCAAGTAAAATCATCTGGTATGAGGGTCACACTGGGTTAAAATATTCACAGCTTGTTTCATGCCGGATGATTTTACTTGTCAAAGGGATCATTTTGGGAACATCCACCTAAAACGTACCTACTAATGTCACCAATTAGACACAGAGTAATGGTAGTTGAATAAACAGTGGCAGGTGAAAGTCAATATTAAATAATCATATCATGCACTGTTTACAATTTTTCCAGCCTGCTCAGTGCTCACACAACATTCTTTTTACATTAAATAATCAAAATATCACAATATCAGGGTTCCCAATCAAATTTAGAGCAAGCTAGACTTTTTTTGTTTCGAGAAATAACCAGCGAATAGCGATTCATTGTTCATGCAAGAGACAGGAAATTTTGCTGTGTGCCAGCTTCTATTGGGGAACCCTGCATTATATATCCTATCAGCAGAACATTGTAATGTTACTCCTTTAAGTGGCATTGTGCCCTACTTTGTTAATGCCAGAATATTATACTCTTTAAGGGGAGACTGCTGGCACTCAATGGGTAAATATCAATCTAAAGTATATACAGTTAGGAAAAACCCAATTGTTTCAAAGTGTTTGATATTTTAGATATTTAAGCAGCATTATTAATGTCCTGGAACAGTTTTATCTCAATCATGGCTTCACTTATCGTAAGTCAAGTGTAGAAAATAATTTCAGGAATCTGTCCATCCTCAACTGAGGTTCCATTATTGTTCCCAGTTGCATATGAAAAGTGAAAGACAATGTTTTCATCCTTCGAGTCAGGGACCTCGCATACAACTTTACGCTGGCCTTTAGTACCATAATAAGAATCAGCACCTTTCAATGTTGCGCTTGCAACGTAAATTATGCTAGGAGTGAGTTCTATTGGTTCACTGAACATGACTCGGAATATGCTTGGTGTACCATCACAACTGAACGCTGTGTCATTCTCACCACATACCAAGCCGGTCTCTGTGTTAATGACCTGCATCTTGACGTTGTAGTCGCTGGGACCATGAATCGCGCCGTATAACCCCAAACCAACAACAAAGATACGCTTGTTGACCGAGAACCTGATACGATCGCTTGTACCGCTATAACCCCAGCGATTTTCAACTTTGGAGAATCTTCTGACCGACTTTTCACGACCAGTAAGGCAACATCGTGGTTTATCTATGAAGCTTACTTTTGGTTTGGGATTGACATGAAAGTAAAGAAATAAACTGACAATTTCTTTCTCTGTCAAGATACCAGATTGCGCTGGACCTGCTGCAAAATCTTCTACAGGCATAAGTGGAAAACGGATCTGGTACAATGCGTCGGATAACACACACCTACATAGGCAATATTAAATATTACAAATTCTGTCATACAAACTTGTTCCATGATGGGAAGGGAAATACAGTAGAACCCCTCAAACTCCCACTGGGCAACAAAAAGCATTCAAGTTAGCAGGGGGTTGAGTTAACATGGTCAGTGTTGGATTTTGTTTGTTATTGATGATGTGTACAAGGCTTCAAATTTGCAGTATCCCGGCGATACCAGATTTTAAATTTGGATACTGGAAATCACAAGCTCAGTATCCCAAGGGATACTAAAAAATTCTGTCCATGGCTAATATATCTCAACAAAATACCTTCGAAAATAATACAAGAAGATAAAGCGATCGAATTTGATTGGCTTGCTCAAAACCGGAATTTTTGAAACATAAACAAACGTCGCACGCCTAATGGCACTTTGCAAATAGCAGTATTATGTTTGTATATATAATAACAATATCTTTGACCAAGGGAAAATTAAATTTTTTGAGTTGAGCGACTTTAAGTTAGCTAGCGGGTTTCTACTGTAGTGTTGAGCATGTGATTGGAGAGTGGGGGTAGGTGGGGTGTGGGTGTTAGTGGGGGTCGGTGGGGTGCGCGGATCGGTGGGGTGCGGGGGTAAGCAGATCTATTTATCACAGCAGCTAATACCTTAAATTTGCTGGAGTTTTACTCAACTCTTTTCGTTGACACTCCTGTTTTGCCCAACGTACTGCATGTTCAAATAACTGGCATTCCTTCAAGCCAAGGGTATCACGTTTCAACACGGCCAGTAAGGTATTATAATCAATGTCTGTAAAGCCTTCTGCATCGAAACTTTCACATGTATTTTTATCAATACATTCTAAACATCTTGTTGCCAACTGTGACTCGTCAAATAACCTTGCTTGTGTTAATAACATGAAGGCATTGTCCGGACGAAGGTTTTTCTTTAAGAAATCAACACATGCATCTTCCATGATTGGTATAACGTATTTCTTAGCTGCGTATAAAGTTGTCATAACTGTTTCTGGACCGATCTGAATCTCGTCTGTGTAAAGAAATTTCAAAAGAGCAAGGAATGCGGATGACTCTATATCAGGTAACTCGACATCATCACTGGGACTTGCTATACCGCCGTTAAACATCGCATCAAAGACGGCGCTGCCCATGGACAAGACAAACTTATGTGCAGGAATACGTCGTCTTTGCAAACCTTTCCCAACGATAAAATGAACATCACTGAGTATTTCGTTATCAAACAAAAACTTAACTCTATCATTAACAGTTGTTTTCCCTGCTTGCCAATTGTAAGGTTGCAAAGACATTTTTCATTCTGAAATATTTTTGTTTGCCCGAGACACATTCCGACACTTGTTCTCCGACCGGTTATTTACCCGGGTCTTTGCGCCGTTATCAAGCTATCTGGTCCAGTTATAATCCGGTCAGAGGAAGGATGAGGTTCTTCCCGAAATGCAACGCGCGAATGAGGGTCTTCCCGAAATGCAACGCGCCTGAATGTAATTATTAATTAAATAATTAATTAAAAATCTTTATTCTTTATTCTCGCGCCGTTCGATTTATAGTAAAAGTTGTTGAAATTTATTGCGATTCTTGCAGTGAAAATCTGGTTTTCTGAAAGGTATGTTTTGATAACTTTTTTGTTTAGTAACCCAACAAAAGAATTTTGGAATAATTTTGTATATTTATCGTATTTTAGTTATGTAAATTTGCATGTTTCGGTTCAGTGACCTTTACTAGATATGGAAATAATATACTTTTTTACAAGCCTAGTTACAAGGGAAATATAGTTAAACTAATACTGCTGAGAAAATATAACGTGATCTTTAATCAAATAGAGGTGTGCAAATTCGATTTGTTCGGATTTCGGAACCAAAATATTCATTTTGGATCGGATTGATAAAGTTGTTTCGTAGTTGGATCGGACTTTGATGTCCAATATAAAATGAATTAATTAATAAAGTAAAAAAAGCAACTTGTGGTTCCGGTTTCATATCGCGGTAGTCCCCCCCCCGTCCATGACACTTGTGACGTCAGGTACATACGGGCCTTTGGGCCTTTGGGGGCGGGTTTTGGCGGGAAAATCTGTAATGTTTGGAGAAGACAAGATGGCGCTGGTTACCTCGTGTTATATCAAAGGGCATTTTTGTTCACAAATACCCGCTTATTTTACGTTATAGCGACTGGTTCGTTTTGGAAATTATTACTCAATGGACGGGGAAAATGATTCTGTATTAAAGAGAAAAAGATGTGCAGTTATTGTGATGTTATTTGTTGTGAAAGACGGCCCGAAATTTCGCTACTTCGCTGTACTGGTTTATAAAACATTTACAAGCAACAGCAATTGAACTATATGACAAAGAAACCAATGTATACAAGCCAATCAAGTTCTTCAGTTTAAAGGTCAGTTTATTTTTAATAATTAGTTCATGTAGTTATATATTAATACGAAGTACAGGGCCATTCCATTTAATATCCACACCCTCCTGTTGACTAGATTTTCCGAAGGGGGTTTTGAATTT